CCGTCAGACATCCCTCAAGGGGTCCCAGATTGGAGTTGGCGCAGGCTGGGCTGAGGGACACCACCGCCCCATGCATGAATTTCGTATATTGGACCTCTAGTGTAAACATAGTATGAAAAGAAAAATACAGTAACATAAAATGCATAAATGAACTGCATGAAACAGTTATGGAAAATGTACTACTATACTTAAAATATTTATAATTTAGCCCTTTACAGAAAAATGTTTGCCCTCTGGATTAGAAAATTCACTACTATCATGATGGTAATTGTCTCAAAACTGATTTATAAATTCAATGCAATATAAATCATAACCCCAGCAGTCTTTTTTATAGAAATTGATAAGCTGATTCTAAAAGTTATATGGAAATATGAAGAACCTAGAATTCTGAAAAAGAACGAAGTCAAAGGACTATTATGACCTGATTATAGTACTTAGTATCAAGCTGCAGTAAACAAAAAGTGTGGCTACTGTAAAAATAGACATATGTCAATAATACAGAACACACAGTACAGAAACAAATCCATCTTTACGGTTAATTGGCTTTCAACAAAAATACAATTTGCATATTAGACTGGCAATGGCTAATATAGATAGATATATGAAGATATATGTATGTAAAGGTGTATATATAGATAGATTATCTATCTGTATATATATATAAATATATATATAGATATATAGATATATAGAGAGAGAGATATAGACATGTGTGTCTATAAAAAGATATATGCATATGCCAAAACCGGTTTGGCTCAATGAATAGAGCATTGGCCTGCGGACTGAAGGGTCCCAAGTTCAATTCCAGTCAAGGGCATGTACCTTGGTTGCGGGCACATCCCCAGTAGGGAGTGTGCAAGAGGCAGCTGGTCGATGTTTCTCCCTCATCAGTGTTTCTAACTCTCTGTCCCTCTCCCTTCCTCTCTGTAAAAAATCAATAAGATATATTTTTTAAAAAGGATATATACATATGTAAAGATATATATATATATATATATATATATATATATATATATATGCCATTGCCAGGCTAATATGCAAATTGTCCCCTTGACCAGGAGTTTGATCAGCAGGCAGGACAGCCAACCACCCATGTTCCCTCCCCCTGGTCAGGCTGGCTGACCCCCACCCATGTACCAATTCATGTACTGGGGCTCTAATCCTATCTAATAAAAGAGTAATATGCAAATTAACCATCATTCCGTTACATCCACAAGCCACGCCCAACAGCCATGCCCACCAATCAGAAGCAAATATGAAAATTAACCTCAACCAAGCTAGCTGTGGCCATGGAGCTAGCAGGAAGGGGGCTTGGGTTTCCCTGACAATGGAGGAAGTCAAACTTTCCACACATCCTGGCAGGCCCAGACCTCCACTCAAGAGCACAAAGCCTCCACTTAAGGGCACAAAGTTTGAATTATAGAAGGTAAATAAATTCCAACGGAAATGGCAGCAGCCACTGATCTCCAGAGAATAGGAGGCTAGGTTTGTCCCCGGAGATGGAGGAAGCCAAATTTCTGCAGCCCTGGCCTCCCTTTGTCTCTACTCAAAGCTATAAAGTTTCAGTTATAGAAGATACATACATAAATCAAAAAAAAAAAAAAATTGCTGCCACTACGGAGCAAGCAGGAGGCTTGGCTCCGCTCCAGGCTACAAAATTTTAATTATAGAAGATAAATAAACCCAAGATACCAGGGTCTCCACTTGGGTCGCCGGGGAGTGTGGCCAGCCTGAAAACCACCAAAGGCCCCTCATCCAGGCTGCCCCACGTCCCAAGGGAACCCCCACCCTGATCTGGGATACCCTTCAGGCCAAACCAGCTGGCCCCCACCCATGCACCAGGTCTCTAGCCTATCTAGTAAGAGTAATATTCAGATTGACCATCACTCCAACACACAACATGGCTGCCCCATATGGTCAAAGATCCTGCCCCCCTGTGGACACAAGATGGCCACCACAAGATGGCCAGCAGGAGAGGGAAGTTGAGAGGGACCAGGCCTGAAAGGGAGGGCAGAAGGGGGAAATCAAGCCTGCAGAGGAGGGAAGCTGGGGGCAACCGGGCCTGCAGGAAAGGGCAGTTGGGGGGCACCCAGGCCTGCAGGGGAGAGCAGTTGGGGGAAGACCAGGACTGCAGGGGAGGGCAGTTAGGGGCAAACAGGCTGGCAGGGGAATGGTTAGGTGGTGATCAAGTTGGCAGGCAAAAGCAGTTAGGGGCAATCTGGAAGGCAGGAATGTGAGCAGTTGGGAGCCAGTAGTCCTGGATTGTAAAAGGGATCCCAGATTGGAGAGGGTACAGGCTGGGTTGAGGGACCAGCCCCCACTTCTCCCCACCCCACACACAAATTTCATGCACTGGTCCTCTAGTCAACACTAATAAGAGAGAAATATACAAATTGACCTAACAAAAATGGCAGTGGCCAAGGAGCTGGAGAAAGCAGGAGGCTTGGGTTGCCCCTGACCTCAGAGAAAGCCAAGCTTCCCTCCCACCCTGGCCACCGGTGAAGGAGTGGATGGGGAAAAAGAGAGGCTGGGAGCCTGGGTCACCAGGAAGGGGGGGGTGACCAGCCCAAAACGGCCCTCAGCTCCTTACCCAGGCTGACCACACCCCATGAAGTAAAAGTCCCTGCTTAGGGCCCTGGCGAGCCTGCAAATAGCCATCTGTCCCTCACCCAGGCTGGCCAGGCACCCAAGCAGGAACCCCCAACCTGAAGGGGATATAGTCAGCTTGAAAACAGCCCTCAGCCCCTCACCCAGGCTGGCCACGCCCCCTACAGGACCCTCACCCCATTGGGGCGGGGCCAGACTGCAAACCACCACAGGCCTCTCACTCAGGCTGACTCACATCCCAAGGGAACTCCCACCCTAATCCAGGACACCCTTGAGGGCAAACCAGCCGGCCCCCACTCATGCACCAGGCCTCTATCTAAACAAATAAAAGGGTAATATGTCCAGACGTTCTTCTGGACAAAGCCATGGTGGTAAGGCTGAAGTAGAGGCAGTTAGAGGCCAAGAGAAGAGGGCCGTTGGGGGTAATCAGGCCAGCGGAGGTGAGAGGGGCCAGTTGGGGGCGAGCAGGCCGTCAGTGGGGGTCGGTGGAGGTCAGTTGGGGGTAATCAGGACAGTGGGGGATAAAGGGGGAGTTTGGAGTGAGCAGACCAGTGGGGAGAAAGTTGAGGGCAAGCAGGCCAGCATGGGGAGGGGGTTGGCAATTGGGGGAGAGCAGGCCGTCAGTGGTAGTTGAGGGCGAGTACACTGGCACGCAGGGCAGTTGGGGGTGATCAGGCTGGCAGGGAGAGCATTTGGGGGCGAGCAGGCTGGCATCAGGGGGCAGTTGGGGACGAGCAGGATGTAGGCAGAGTGGTTAGGGGCAATCAGGCAGGCAGGCGAGCGGTTAGGAACCAGCAATCCCAGATTGTGAGAGGCATGTCTGACTGCTGGTTTAGGCCCAAACCCTGTACACCGGCAGTAGGACATCCTTCGAGGGGTCCCAGATTGTAGAGGATGTATGTCGGGCTGAGGGAGAAACACACACACACACTGAGTGGCCAGATTATAATGCGTTCAGAGATCATAATAATCTGGCCACTCAGTATATATGGTTTCTCCTCTATTTATTTTCTGCTTCTTAATTCACTTTTTAAAAATGTCTTGTGGCCGAAACCGGTTTGGCTCAGTGGATAGAGCGTCGGCCTGCGGACTGGTCAATTCTGGTTTGACTCTGGTCAAGGGCATGTACCTTGGTTGCGAGCACATCCCCAGAAGGGGTGTGCAAGAGGCAGCTGATCGATGATTCTCTCTCATTGATGTTTCTAACTCTCTATCCCTCTCTCTTCTTCTCTGTAAAAAATCAATAAAATATAAAAATAAAAATAAAAATAAAAATGTCTTCTGCCCTAGCTGGTGGGGTGCTTCAGTGGTTGGAACATCTGCCCGAGCACCAAAGGGTCTCAGGTATGATTCCAGATCAAGACACATACCAGGTTGCAGATTCAATTCCCTGCCCTCAGGGGTGGGAAGGGGGACAAGTGCAAGAGGCAACCAACCTGTTTTCTCTTACAAAGAGATATCTCTCCCTCTCTCTCTCTCTCTCTCTCTCTCTCTCTCTCTCTCTCTCTCTTAAATTAACCAATGGAAAAAAATTATCCTTGGGTGAAGATTAACAAAACTTCTCTATATCTCGATAGCTTTTCAAAATCCTCAAAAAGTTTTCACCTAAATTATCTATTTTAATCCTCACAACAACCCTATGATAGATCATACATTTCATGAACTTAATCTCTGAAGAAAAAAATTTTTTTTCTTTTTTTTTCTTTTATTATTTTTTATTTTTACATATTTTATTTATTTTTTTTTGCCCCCCTCCCTCCCTCCCACATATCCCCTCCCTCCCCAGAGTTTTATGTCCATTGGTTGTACTTATATGCATGTATACAAGTCCTTGGGTTGACTTATTATCTCCCCCAGACCCTCCTCCCCTCCCCGCTGTAATTTGACAATCTGCTTATTGCTTTACTTTCTCTATATCTATCTTTTGGTTCATCTGAAGAAAAAATTTTTAAGCATCATTGAATTTTATTAATTTATAAACACAGTATATCCCTGGGATTCTAAAGTTTGGCATTTTGGGATTTCTAAAGTAATACATGCTATCTACAACGTGAAAAAAGGCAAACAAAATGGAAAAAATATATGTCTAATGTATAAGTCAAAGACTTAACACTTTCATATTTAAAACCTATCATAAATCAATAAGAAAAAAATCTCAAGGGGAAAATGGGTAACTGAAAACTAAGAGGAAAAAAAAAGAGAAAATGTTCAAACCCACTAGTAAACCAAAAGAAATACAGAGTGAGACAAAATAACCCCTTTTCACTATCAACTCATTAAAAAAGTACTCAAAATCATTCAGTATGTTTATCTAAAATAAGTTCTTCAGATTCTAACCAACCAAATCCTTAGAACAAAAGTATAGACATTTATTTAATAGTATGGTTACATACCTGACAACAAACTAAGAAAATGAAGAGAGTTATAGCAGTCCATAGTACCTTCTCTCTAAACTGGATCTTACAACAAAAGATAAAGAACAGTCAATAAGAAACAAGAAAAAACAAATATATAGTAAAAATCCCTATTAAAGCATAGCCAACATTCCCCATCATGACATGCTATTTTTAACTCTTAAAATACTCTCACCCTAGTTAGCAGTGGCTAAAGCAAACAGTTAAACTTTTCAAACTTTTTTTAAACATTAACTTTCTTTTTTCAAGAAATAATTTAAATACAGGTAGTCCTCATCACATTATACGATGTTAAAAAAAACTGAAAATGATGCAAAGCAAAACACAATCCAATATGTATGCATTTCAGTTCATCCAGTATTGTGCAAAGCTAGGACCCCATGTAATGTTATATGAACATCTATTTTTATAACAAAGCAATGAAAAATGGAATATACTTCTAAATGAAAGAGTAAGTATAACAAAAGTTTTACTTATCTCTTTTTATGTCCCTATGCCTGTTAGTTTCATGAGAAATCGAAATTATGGTAGAAGAATGCCTGGGAACTGGCCGGTTTGGGATTAACAATATTTCTGAATTTAAATACCCTATCTCCAAAAGCAGGCAGTGATGAAAGAACAATTTGATGAAGTCACAATATCTTCTGAATGCATTCCTGTGATTTTTCTTTGCATTAAATGAATTTTAAAAATGGAAGGTATATACTTGCAAAGTTGTGATTCATCTATGTATCATAAAACAGCTGTACTTATCCAAACGAATAAGGCCATTAATAGGATGGCAGTGGATCATACCACCAGCAAGCACAGCACACACCCCATACAACAGGAATTATAAAGATCATTACAGACAAGGAAACATTATATCTTACCTAACACACAGGCCGAAAAAAACACTTGGTTTGGAAATGTTAGAACTTAAAGAACAATTATTTTTGAAATCACAAGATAAACTAAACAGGTCGAACTAGTTTTATTCACTTCATGCCTGCTGCAAGGAGGAGGAACAGGCAATATTTTTTCAAGTACAACCACACAAGGGTTGGGGAAAATAAATCAATCTTGCTAGTTTAGCAAAGTAAGTCCTTAGGTAACTTCTATATTACTAAAATATTATACTTACTTTTCTTTCAGGTTTCTGGATTTCTGGTAAAACCGCACAGAAAGGTTTGATAACTTCTAAAAATTTGACTGAGGAAAATAAATAAATAAATAAATAAATGTTACTTTTACATAGTTTTAAAAATATATATTATCTTTTAACAAAATCAAATGCAAATGTTCTCTAACTTATAATAGCAATCCCTCCCATTCCCCATTTCTAAAATTAATGAGAAATCAAAATTATAGTATTTCAAATATAGAAAGGAAGAGAAATAATTCTAAAGAAAAAAAAATCCAAAAGGTTTAAGGACTCAGTCAGTAAAATCCTGATTTTGCTTCCTCATGATTATATCCAACCCTTTTATATTTAAAGGAATGATTCAATGAGTATCACTACATTAAAAAGAAAAAAAAGCAAACGCAGCTTACTGTGGTACCCATAACACAATGCTTTAAAGAAGAAAATAAGAGACATCAGAGGAGGGAGAAGAAAGTACAACAGGAAATGAGCTGAAACTGCAGATGTGACTTATTTAAACTAAAAAATGATGCAAGGAGTGACCATGGAATCATCTTTATAGATAACTTTTACTTCTTTTCATTAAGTAATTATTTATTGTTTGGTTGCTTTCCCACATAATGATCTGTGTACTTGCTTATGTACAGTAAAAGACCAGAGAATGACAATTTTACCAGACAGTATTATTTTCCCAGACTTATTTATCCTATATATCAAAAGCCTAATTTGCTAATTGTCCCCTTGACCAGGAGTTCCACAGGGAGTTCAACCAGGAGTTCCAACAGGGGGCAGGGCAGGCCACCCCAACTGTCCGTGGCTCCTCCCCCCCACAGCTGGCCCCGTCCTAGCCGGTGGCTGCAGCAACAGCAGGCAGCCAGGGGAAGGAAGGCCCTGGATGGCAGTAAGCAGCTGCTAGGGACCCTACCCGTGAACAAATTTCACACACTGGGCCTCTTGTATATATATAAAAGCTTATATGGCCATCTTGACTGTTCAACCATCTGACCAGAGGCTATGACGCACACTGACCACCCTGGGGCAGAAGTTCAATGCAGGAGCTGCTGAGCTGCTGTGACTTGGCAGCTGTGGTTCTTGGGTGACGCACCTGGAACCAGAGAAGAGAGAGCCCAATTCTGGGGTGCTCTAGGGTGCATCACCCAAGAATCGCCCTCTCACAATCTGGGACTCCTTGGGGTCTGTTGGAGAGCCAGTTTTGGCTAGATCCCTGCAGGCCACGCTGAAGGACCCCAGGGTGCACGAATCTGTGCACAAGGCATATATATATATATATATATATATATATATATATATATATATATATATATATATATATATATATATATATCATAAACTAAAGGTTCTTTAAGGAGAGATGCCATCTTCTGGCATGACTGAAGTCAAGCCCTGCCCAAAAATTGGAGGATGAAGATAATAATCTCTCAAAGTCAGTCTTGGCCAGCGTCTGCAATGTGCAGAAACACAAGAGGCCTCAATTAGTTATTATCATCTTCCCCTACACACATTGCGTTCTGTAACAGTATCATGAAATTGTTTTAAAACTGAAAATTACACTTCAGCAGTTGGCCAAAGTCTATCTTATTTTATAAAACCTCTCAAAAGGATGGCACTCGCAGACTTATTTGACAAAATTCTGAAATTCTCATGGGCAGATGTTTGTAACCATAACATTTTGGACTCTTGGAAAGTAAATCTGAACCGTGAAAGTGTTTATCTCTGATGCAAAACAAATAGTAGCTACACCAGAAAACTTCCTAGAACCCCTTTATCCCTTTCCCATCCCACCTCAACCCAAGCCACCCTCCCAGATTTTTGACATTTCATGAGCACTTCTGCATTCATGTTCAAGCAATGCTTTTGTATGCCACATGTCCACTCCTGAGCTGCAGTATTTTACCCATTATACTGAAATTAAAGGACAGGGTCTCCTCTACTTCCTTCCTGGCATCCCCAAACAACCCACTGTTTGGACAATTGATGCACAGCTTGGGTGTGCAGTTACCCATTCATCCTAAAACATCTGAGCAGCTCTTAATGCATGTGATGCTGAGTGTTTAGGAAGCGCCTTAAAAGATCCCCATAATACAAGGCCTTAAAGCTTAAACCCCTCATACACAGAGTGACTTTTCAGTAAACGCCTCAGAATGACAAATAAAAAATTTAAGGGAAACGCTATGCTCCCAACGTACTCATTGCATCCCCTAAGATACGCGACATGCATCACTTTTCTGAATTAGACAAGTCAGGAAGCTTTATTCATCACAACTAACATGTCAAGGAGGGGTGATTTGGCAATAAAAATGAGCTTTTTTAGCTCCCCGAAAATTCACAAAGTTGTCCAGGTTTTGCCGGGTTCTCTGCCCGCCCCCCAAAAGCCAGCAGCCTAGCCGCCTGGAGAGCACTCCCCGGCCCGGCGATCCGGCCCCGCGGCCCCGGCCGTGGCCGGGCCTCCCAAGGTTGCAGGAGCCTCGGCGGCCGCCTCCCGCCCCCGCGCTACGCAGCGGCCCGCGCCCCCCCGGCCGGCGGGCTGGACACCGAGTGGGCGCAGCCCCACCGCCCGCAGCCAGCGCCGCGCCCTGGGCCAGAGCCCCGCTCCGGACCGCCCGGCGAGCCCGGCCGCGCCGCCCGTACTCACTGCCCATGGCGGCGGCTGGGCGGCCCCCGGGCGCGGGGCTCGGCGCGGTCTCCCCTCGGCTCTCCGAGCTGGGCCTCTGCGCCGCGGCCGACGCGGTCTGGCGGCTGCGCGCAGACTCCGCCTCGGGTCACGTGGCGCGCGTGCGGCGCGCGTAGCCCCGCCCCCGGGGCCGGGCCCTGGGCGCCTGCGCCGACTTCTTGGCTGCTGTGCGCGCGCCTTGCTGAGACCCCAGCTTGCAGCTGCTCAGGCCTGTCCTTTGCAAGCACGTGGCCGAGCTCGGCGTCGAGCGGGGGTGGTTCCCTGACAGCCAGGTTGGGGCAGGTCATGTCCCGGTGCCGGGAGCGCAGGCCGGTTCCTTCCTGAGGCCTGGGCCTGAGCCGCCCCTAGAGCCTGCGTGACCCAAACAGCCTTTGTAATGTGCTCCCGTCCTCCCCTGGAAGTTCTCAAAAATTTGGGACACTTTATAAAATTAGTATCTTGTGAACTCTCACTGTGTACTGCGTGGGCTCCTTCAGCCTCTCCAAAATTGGAGGGGTTAGGATTTTGCCCCCGGACTAGTCTTATCCTTTCTTGGACAGCATGGTGAAAAAGGGAATGGACAAGGTTTAGAAATTAGCCAACCCCCTCCCATTTTAATCCCTTATCTACATAATGGCTTTGGGCAATTAGCCTTTCTGAGCTACATGGGTGAAACAAGGATAATAAACACATCCTACAGGTGTGGAATTGGGCCAAGATGGACACATAGAAGGCTCTCATGTAGTTTCCAAACTCAAATTTTAAACCCGTGCAGTGTAACTTCTCTAACATCTGCTGAAACAAGTTATTTCAAACTTCCCTAATGACCTGTCATTGTTACCTACTGTGGGGTCGAACCCTGGGTTCAAAATAAGACCACCGGAGGCTGATGGTTTATTAAAAAAGCAGGCAAAGATTTATTGAAATATCTGGCCAGGACAGCCGCAAGAGCACCGCACGCAGGCGGACTCCACACGACTGTGAGGGTTTAGGGGCAGGTAGTTCTTTTTAAAGGTTCTGAGAAGGAAAAACCCAATTTTGCAACAAACTGTTGTTTGGAATTTTCTGCTGTTCTTTCTAGATAAAATGTTGCTTTTTAGTTTGCTTTAGTCCGTTTGAAGAATGATGAAGATAAACTTAGGTGTCTGACCTTATAGGCCAGAGACCAGATATGCCCACAATTTCAATACCATGCCAGGTGCACTTTTTCAATTGGATAGAACTGTATTGTTTTCAAGGCCAGCATCGAGATAACCACTAATTGCACATAGGGCTGGCTCTTCAACAATTAAAAAAAAAAGAAAGTTCTGCCTGTAACCTTGCTTAGAACCTGAATTCATCCTCCCCAAGCCCATCGTGCAATGAACAAAGCAAGTCTCTCCAAATTCTCCCCCTGCAGCATCCAACTGCTGGGGAACTCTGCAACAGTTCAACCAACAGGAATTTTCCTTTGTTCTAAATTCTAAATCCTAAAGACTGTATTCTAAAAACTGGTGTCAGCCTGCAGGGTCGTTCCCAGTCACATCCTGCTGGACATTGGAATGTGGCCATATCTTATCGGTGGTTCATCTCCAAAGGTTATGGTTCCAGGCACAGGAAAATTGCCTTAGCAGGTTTAAAATTCAAACAGCAGTTTTTACCTGAGATGTATATTCTTTTTTTTTTAATTAAATTATTATCTGTGTACATATTTTACCATTGCCCCCCTCATACATACCCTCCCTCCTCAAAGTTTTGTGTCCATTGGTTGTACTTATATGCATGTATACAAGTCCTTCAGTTGATCTCTTATCTCCCCCAGATCCTCCTCCCCTCCCCACTGTAATTTGACAGCCTGCTTGTTGCTTTACTGTCTCTATATCTATCTTTTGGTTCATCAGTTTATAATGTTCTTTATTATCCATAAATGAGTGAGGTCATGTGGTATTTCTCTTTCATTGACTGGCTTATTTCACTCAGCATGATGTTCTCTAATTCTATCCAGGTTGCAAATGATGAGAATTCCTTCTTTTTTATTGTAGCATATTATTCCATTGTGTAGATATACCATAGTTTTTTGATCCAATCATTTGCTGACGGACACCTAGGCTGTTTCCAAATTCTAGCTATTGTAGATTGTGCTGCTATGAACATAGGGGTGCATATGAGATGTATATTCTTAATGTCTTATTTCATTACTGAGGAGGTCGGGGCACAGGGCGGGTGGTCTGCCTGAAACCAAGGGTAGTGTGGGTTCTTGACTTTGTATAGGATTTCACAACTGAAGCCTGGGTGATCTTGAGAGCATGTTTACTAGTATTAAAGCTGGGGGCAGTGAAACAAAGAAAGGGCTTACAGTAGGAGAAGCAACAGGAGAAAGGCAGGGGAGGAGATGGGTTCAGGGAGTGAGTTCAGGTCCAGCTGCCACTGCCTGCGCCGTTACCCTGGTTGCAAGGCTCCTGGGGTCCTTTAGAATTTAGGAGATGCAGGAGCCTCAGTGAGATCCTTTTAGGAACTAGGCCTCTGTGTGATCCACCTCCAGCATAGGCAACTTTTAATGAAATCGGTTACTGAATTTCCCCAGGTGAACAGAATGTAGGGAGGGAAGAGGATATAAGAACAAAGATCTGTAGACATGAGCCAGCATCCTGGTGGAACCCCCCACCCCTCCTCAGGTGCCCACCCCAACTAGACGAGGCTGGTGGAGACAACTAGAAAAGGCCTCAGCCCATTTTTTTTTATCCCCCCCCCTCCCCCCCCGCCTCCAGTGGTTAAGATGTTTTTATTGTTAATAGGTGAACAAACCTTTTCCTTTACTGAGAACTCGGGTATTTTATAAGTTTAAGAATTGATTCATTCTGCCGAGACCGGTTTGGCTCAATGGATAGAGCGTCGGCTTGGGGACTGAAGGGTCCCGGGTTCGATTCCGGTCAAGGGCATGTACCTTGGTTGCGGGCATATCCCCAGTAGGGGGTGTGCAAGAGGCAGCTGATCGATGACTCTCTCTCATCGATGTTTCTAACTCTCTATCTCTCTCCCTTCTTCTCTGTTCAAAATCAATAAAATATATTAAAAAAAAAAAAAAGAATTGATTCATTCAGCCCATTTTTTTTTAAATGGCCCAATAGGAGATAATAAGACCTAGGCGACCTATGAGGAAGCTATGAATCCATAGTATCAGCCAATGAGGAACCAGAGGAGGGACTCTTGTACAATGGCGATAAGTAGGCTGTGATCACTACTCCATGTGTGCCTGTACAACCAGAGACGCCCCCTCCAGAATGTATTAAAAGTCTTGATTTCTCCATACTTCTGTCTCCGAATCCATTATTTGAATTCAGACAGGTGAGCATTTCTCACACTGTGGGCCAAGAAGTGATGCAGGGAAAGATGTGGGTGTGCTCCAGGGAGAAGGAGCTTGTACTGGATCCTTTTATCTTCCTTCGGCAGGTGAAACCCTAGGGAGGTGTCTGGGGAAGGTCTTAACAGAATATTCATTAGTGTTTCAGATGTCTGTCAATATGTTGATTTATCAGAATGTAAAGGGGCCAGGGTTGTTTTCTGATTGGTTTTATTTTTAAAGAACATTATTAAAGAGGAACTGGGACTGAGGCCCATCTGCCCTGGGATAGTCTGGAACGTGTAAACCATTTGCTACTACATGTTCTTGTGATTTATTAGCTGCTCAAATTGTTTAATTATTTTGTCTGTTTCCCTTATTCCACTTGTCAAGGAATTTCCCTAGCTTCGTACTATCCTGCCTCATGATCCAATGATCTGTTCTCATGCTTAGGTCTATGTACCAGAAGAAAACAAAATACTTGTGTGTGTGGGACTCACTCCTTGAGCGCACTCTAGCCAGGCTCCTCTGAGCCCTTTCTCCACTTGGCCTTACATTAGCCTTTAAAGACTTGAACAAACACTAACATTTTCTGACAGCTCCATCCCTAGAATCACCATGCCCACGCTTAAAATGTCCGCCTGGGAAGGCTCAGAATTTACCTCTTGTTCCAGGCAACACCTAGAGGTAGGTTCTCTGTCTCCCAGCCTTAGTCAGAAGGTGGGAGCCTAACTTCCATCAATTTCAGTTAACAAACACAGATGTATTTCAGGGGAACCAAACCCTCCTTCCTGCTTTTTGAATTTTTCAACTTTCCTAACTATGAGCACCCTCTCACCTCCTCCCTTTTTTCTCATTCTCCTAAACTGCCCAGTTGCCTCTACAAATCAAAGTGAGTTGAGTTTAAGCTGGACCGTTATTCCTATTGCAGTAGGATATTACCGATTAAAATCTCTCCTGACGGCTTCAATAATCAGTGTCACACACACGGTTTGGGTGGGTCTCCGCTCCACTTGGTCATCTGGGACAGCTCCGAGGCTCAATACGTGGATTATCAGAAGGCTCTCACTCGCAAGTTTGGCTTTTGGAGCTGGCTGTCAGCAGACTTCAGGTGAAGCTATCAGCTCCAGCATCTCCATGGGCCTTTTCCATGTGGCCTGGGCTTTCTCACAACCTGGCAGCTGGCGGCCAAGTCCTGTCTTTGAGGTGACTTTCAGTGTATTGTATTTATATGGGCAGACACAAAGGCTTGCTCGGTTTCAAGAGGGGAGGGAAATAGGCTCCAACTCTAGTGGGAGTGTGGCAAGGTCCGAAGCATCTGGGACCCAAAATATTGCCATGACTGCTTTTTGAAAATGAAATCTGCCATGGTCATCAGCTCATGTCCTAGGACTTCATTCTTACCTCATTCTACTTTTACCTCATTTTCATACTTGTCTAAATCTCCACTACACCATAAACTTCTAGTTGGCAGGGAGGGACTCACCTAATTTTTGGTATCATCTACAGTAACTGTGAATGGTTAGTTTTGGCACTAACTTTGTGAATATAACTTCCTTTCAGTAGGCTGCACTAAATTGAAAAGTCTAATTGACAGAAGGAAAAGAGTGACCCGCACCTCTCCTTACTGCCTATTTCTGGGACAACTCCATGTTTCAAGTAAGAGCCTGGGAATAAGCTTTGACACTCTAGATAACTTTTTTAGTTACCCTTCCAACATTCTTTTTTTTTTTTTTTTAATATATTTTATTGAATTTTTACAGAGAGGAAAAGAGAGGGATAGAGAGTTAGAAACATCGATGAGAGAGAAACATTGACCAGCTGCCTCCTGCACACCCCCTACTGGGGATGTGCCCACAACCAAGGTACATGCCCTTGACTGGAATTGAACCTGGGACCTTTCAGTCCAAAGGCTGACGGTCTATCCACTGAGCCAAACCGGTTTCGGCCCTTCCAACATTCTTCAGTCTTTCTACTACTACATATTATTCATGACTTTTTCTGTATAACCACATATGCCACCTAATCTACACCTATTAGAAATATCACTCTTCCCTAACCCCCCACACTGTTTTAGTACATCCAACAAAAACATTTCTCTCTCTACAAGTAAAATGCTGTCTTCTCAAACATATTGTTAGTCCATTGAGGATGAAGGGGAACCCCTTTTATTTTTCACTTCCATGTGTTTTTAATATTCTTGCATTAAGAACTATGCCATATATGCTATAGGTGTCCAATAAACTATTCATTGAGGAAATACTATTTACTCTTACTATGTATGTGAAAAGTATGTAATTTAATACTTTTATTCCATTATGGATGGTTTTCCATAAAAGCCAGGAGAGACAAAGAAAAACAACACTAAAGCAATATACTTTTATTAAATTTTTTAAAAAATTAACTGATTTTATAATTGGTAGTGGGGAAATAACAGTCTGCTTTAGATTGTGCTTTTTTAGATTTAAATACAAACATGACAACGAATTGCTATGTCCATAGAGTAATTTAGGAGTTGTTTGTGAAATAGTGTGTTATAAATATTGACGAATTAAACATTTTATCCAAATTTCTCAAAAGTATAATAGTTTTAGCTTGAACCCTATGAGAAGCTGAAGATGAAAACCAACTATCTTGATACATCAAAGAAAAATGTAGGTAAAGCTTTTGGAATCTCAAGACCTGAATGTCTTCACTTTTAAATCTGTGACTTCCTATGGAATCCCTAATTTCTTTAAACCATATTTCCTCAATTTTGCGAAAGGGATATTGTTTCTATTGGCAGGCAAGAAGTTTTTAAAGAGAGAGAAACTGTTGTGTCAGAGAGACACATCAATTAGTTGCCTCCCACAAGATTGAGTCTGCAAAGCAAAGTACAAGCCCTTGAAGGAAATCAAACCTGGACTCTTCAGTCCGCAGTCTGTCCACTGAGCCCCTCCTCCTTGAGGCATCTGGTCTCAGCAGGATGCAGCCAGCCTTCCTGGGCTGAAGGGGGCGGGGTGGCTGCTTCCAGGCTCCAGGTTGCTGGGAGAGTGGCTGCTGGCTAGCAGGTAGAGGCTGCCAGCCCCCCATGGCTGCTGCCCATCAGAAGGAAAATGCTACCCCTGCCCTTACAGGGCCCAGTCCCCATATACGAGTGGCCTGGGGTCCCCCAGATGAGTGTCTATGCCACAGCTTCTACCTGGAAGGACTGTTGGGGAGCAGGAAACGCACCCATAGTTGAAGGGCTGAATCCCGAAGATGGAGAGTAATGGAAACTCCCAGGTTTCCCCAAGGCCTTGGCTGGAGTCTCGATGTAGGAGAGGCCACATTGGCACCCAGCACACCAGTGTACCCCCAGAGGACTGCTGGCCCAGAAGCACGCTCAGACCAGGAGAATCGGCCAGCATAGCTCTGGAGAGTTCTGACACCAGAGCCACGTGGGGGTGGTTGGGGAGGGGGGAGGCATGGAGGCCTTCAGGGGCAGGGAATGCATACTGGAGGGATCCAGGAGCCACAGCGTCTACCTCCGGATGGGGCCTCCTCTGGGAGTCCTTTGTCTACCTCTCCGGTTCGGAAACCACACCTGGATTCTGGACTGAGGAATCTGGATTTGCTTGGCTACTTCTCAGACAGTGATATCAGGGTATGGGTCCTTCTCAAAGGCCTCGATAAGAACCTGAAATTGGTTTTTGCTGAACTTGGGCCTCTTGCACCTCCCGCTTCCTCCAGGCCTGTTGGAGGCCATGTCCCACAGCACCTACCCACCAGCGAGGACCCAGGTGGGAACTGCCTTCCAACTGGAGTCTGGGAGGGAAGGCTGCATCCCTTTAAATACAGTTGGAACTAATGGGGGAATGTAAAGAAGATTATGTGAAAGTAGGAGGAAGTAAGGCGGGAAAATCTCTATCCATTACAGGATAGCTAAAATTATGTACTTGAGGGTAGTTACCCTTATGAGGGGTCTAAAAAGAGGCATTACAGCCGGGACCCATTTGGCTCAGTGGATAGAGCATCGGCCTGCGGACTGAAAGGTCCCGGGTTTGATTCTGGGCAGGGGCATGTACCTTAGTTGCGGGCACATCCTCAGTGGGGCGTGTGCAAGAGGCAGCTGATCAATGATTTTCTCTCATCGATGTTTCTAACTATCCCTCTCTCTTTCTCTCTCTGAAAAATCAATAAAATATATATTTTAAAAAAAAGAGAGGCATTACAAATGTGTGTTAATCCATGGACACAGACAATAGGATGGTGAAGACCTGGGGCAGGGGGTGAGGGCAGGCTAGAAGGGTTCAATGAGGGGAAAAGGGGACTCTATAATACTTTCAGTAATAAAGATTTAATAAAATAAAACAGCAACAAAGGTGTGTTAACCTAGATGCATCAATGGATAGAAAGACATCGTTACAAATGGAGATTTCTTTTATAAATATAAATGCCTCTTATAAAAATGTAAAAAAAAAGTTTTTAAAAATAATAAAACTTTAAAAGTAATACAGTAGGACTATAAAAGGGTATGTTTTAGAATATAGCATGCTTTCTTATAGTATATGTATGGAAAACAAAAACTGAATAAAAAAATGGTCTTATAAGAAATAAAATTTTATTTTACAAAGAATAATGTGTCATTCTATTCACTGAATACCCAATTTGAACTGTAATCTTCATTGACTATGAAATTTAGCATTGATAGATATAAATGGGATACAAAAGTCATATTACCAAAAATTAAAAAGGAATAAAGTAAAGTATTTTATTTTACGTTATTATGCTTTTAATCTAATATTTTATCATGGGAGCATTTGATTTGGAATTTTTCAAATGGTCTCTTCCTGAAAGGAAATTCAAAATGCTGGCCCATGTTGCTGTAGTGATTGTGAGGATGAGGTACACAGCTCATGGCTCAAGTTGGAGAAGATGTAACAAGATACCATAAACAGACTTTTGAGGTATAAAGTTAGAAACTTGAAGAGATCTACATGAAATTAAGAAAAAAAATCTAGTTTTCCCTTTAATTTTTATCTTACACTTTAAAAAAAATTTAAGTTAAGAAACCAAGAGATCTGAAAATGACACTGTGCTTTTATTTTTTACTAGTTTGATGTACAATACTGTTAACCTGTCTCATTAAATAGACCTCTGTGATTTTAGTGATTTACATGAGTGGCACCAAGTTACATGATTTATAAGGCTTGACACAGAAAGGAAGCATTATGGTGTATGGGAATAAAAGGGATCTGAATTCTACAGAAATGTTTTCAATGCACTAATGTATACATGTAAGATATGAACCACAAATCTATTGACCAGAACAACTTATACATTGATTCTGAAAAATATTACCAGTTGCCAGTAAAAGTGAGTAGGGCATTCCAGTGCCTCAGAACTTCCACCATCATTTCTGAGAAAAAGTATCACAAGAACGGTCAACGGCAGAGCTTCTGCAGCACCAAGCCATGAAAAGCTGCACAGATTGCTGCAGTTTAGTTATGTTTCCAGTATCATTTAATTTCAGAATAAGGGAGTGGGTTGGTGATCCCTAGAAATTCCCAAGCACCTGTTGTTGGAAAGTTTCTGCTATCAAAATTCAAGTGCACCTTAAACACCGCAAATAAACATCACACTGCAGCAGGGACTTTTAAAGGAAAGACTGAATAATCAGGGGCTGAAATTCTCTTATCAGACATTCAAAGTCATTTGAAATATCACCACAAGAACGGGGAGAGAGATACTATGGCAAGGCAGGCCACAAACCAATTTCATTGTACCTAAAACTCCTTCACTTACTCCACCAATGTGGCTCAGTTGGTTGAGCATCATCCCATGCACCAAGAGGTTGCCAGTTCAATTCCCAGTCAAGGTATATGCCTGGTTGTGCAAGAGGCAGCTGATCAATGTTTCTCTCTCATCGATGTTTCTCTCTCCCTCTTGCCTTCCTGCCTCTCTAAAAAATAATCAATAAAAACGTACTTAAAAAAAAAAAAAAAAAAAAAAAAAAAAAAACTCCTTTACTTAGTACCACTATGCTAAAAGATCACACCCAGAGATTTGTATTTAATATACTTAAGGACAATGGGTAAAACTATCTTGAAATCAGAAATAATATAGTATTGCTACAGTGTCTAGTGAAACATTTTTCACAGTTTTGGTTTTTCACCAAAACCGACATAAATGAAAATATTTGACTTTGAATAAAGAAGGGGAAAATTAATGAAAGTGACATGCATCAAATAAATTTAGAGGTAATGTTGAGGTAATCTATATGTAGCTATAAAGTCGAGCTAAAGAACTTTTCTGGGCATATACAGTTAATGAGAAAGAGTGGAATCTGAAAAATCTTGATTATGACCTAGCTCTATAACTCTCAGATCTAACCAAATTGTAACATGATCGAATATGTAAGGATAAAAGTTACTTGTCTGATTTATATATTGATTCCATTGCTATTCCACGTATTCCAGATTAAACTGTCCTAATCAGTCCCAACATCTTAGAGGAACGCAGACATTTCATGTTACCTAATGGAAAAAGGAGAATAGAGGAAGCAGGTCTTTCTTTTTATGGCAATTTTCTTAACAGGAAGTTGTATTTCTTCAAAGTACATCATTGAGCAAAGGTCTTGGTGAGGATATCTTCATGCTGCTGCAGGTGCACGGTGCCAATTCCTACAGCAGGTGTTGGCAAAGGTGGTCGGCTCACAAGGCGGAGCTGTCATTGGAGCAGAAAAGAAATAAAATGACACTGTGACCCACTTAGAACTCTGCTTAGTTCACCCAAGCAGGTGCCTGTGTTTCTCTTATCTTGTTTAACATAAATCACCTTTTTGGAAAAATAATGACTTACATAGAATAGATTGTCACAACTAAAAAGCAACAAAATTCCAGGCATAATAAGGGTATATAAATTCTCAAATTTGTTCTGTTCTTCAGTAACTATTAGTTGGTGTTAGCTGTAGTTTCCTAAATTAGAGTTATTCACATGTGAAAATTATTTATAGCCAACTAGTATCAAATGAGTGAACAGAGTTCTAATTTAAGCAGAATAGAAAGATAAAACAGAAGCACAATTGCTCTTCGCATTGTTTTCTCCTTCCTGCAGCATAATTAAGAGGAATTTGGCCTGTAAGGGATCTCTGCTGTGTGGATGGGTCTGGAACAAGCATCATTGGGTATCTCTACTCCCATGTTGTAAAACAAGCCTGCTCATCACTCAGTTCCCCCGTGGCTTGGATGTTGACCTTGAGGACAAGAATACTGAGGAGGCTAGCAGGAAAGCAGCCAACAGGTAAGGGCTTTTACTTTCTAAGTGAAGTCACTTTTTGTTTTTACATGCTACTAATATGTGCACATAGATTGATACACACTCAGCATTTTATTTTGAAAGAACAGCCTAAAACTAGACTTTATATTTTACTTAATATTTAAAAGAATTGGATTGATAGTAGGGGACAAAACCATTTGTTGGCACTCCAGGAAAAGCAAGATACAAGAACACTATGAAAGGCAGAGATAGTACCTTGCAGGCCAGCTGCTTTTCAAATCTTGGAGAAACAAAACACCACGGACCCATGTTCTGGGGCTCCTCCTGACTCCAAATAAAATCTATAAAAGAAAATCCATCTCAGTACCTCAAGTAAACATATACAACATAAAAACACACACATACACACACTATGTGTGTATGTATGTATGTGTATATATATATATATGTGTGTGTGTGTGTGTGTGTGGCATAGTGTCTTTTTTTTTTACAAATACACAGTAATGTATCCACCAGCACAACCACGATACTAAACAATTCTATCAACCCAAAAAATTCCCTCATCTTGTTCCTTTGTACTCAAATCCTTCTCCTACCCCCAACCTCTGGCAACCACTGATCTTTCCTCTATCCCAACAGTTTTGCCTTTTCCAGAATGTCAGGTAAATAAAATCATACAGTATGGGTCTGGCTTCCTTGAATTAGCAAAATCCATTTGTGATTTTGCTGATAGCAATAGTTCACTCTCTTTTATTGTTGAGTAGTGTGACCTTGAGTATGGATGTACCACAGATTTTTAGTCACCCATGGTGGAAAGATATTTTGTTTGTTTCCAGTTTAAGGCAATTATGAATAAAGCTGTTAGAAACATTCACATGCAGGTATTTCTGGGGACATGCTTTCCATTCTCTTTGGTGAGTAAACACCGAGGAGCGGGACTGTCGGTGGTGTGGTAACTCTACGTATGACTGCGTAAGAAACTGACAAGCTGTGTACCACAACGGCAGAACCAATTTGCATTTCCACCAGCAGTGAATGAGGGTGACAGTTCCTCCTCATCCTCAGCATCACTTGATATCATCAGTTTGTTGTTTTGTTTTCATTTTAGCCATTCAAATAGGTATGTTTAGATCTCATTTTAACTTAATTTGCATTTCCATTATTACTAATTATGTTGAGCATCTTTTCATATAGTTATTTGCCATCTAGTTCTTTGGTAAAGTGCCTGTTCAGTTCTTTAAAAATTGAATTATATATTTTCTTACTATTGAGTTTTAAGAGTTCTTTAAACACCCTGGATAGTCTTTGCCAGATATCTATCTGCAAATATTTTCTCCCTGCTTGTGGCTTGTCCTTTATTTTCTTTGCAGAAGGTTTTCATTTTGATAAAGTACAATTTTTCCTTTATGGAACATATTTTTGATGTTATAGCTAAGAACTTTTTGCCCAACTTAAGGTCACAAAGATTTTCTTCCATTTTCTTCTAGAAGTTTTGCAACTTCATATTTTACATTTAGGCTTATAGTCAGTTTTAGTTTAACTTCTGTGTAAGGTGCATAAGATATCCAATTATTCTAACTCCATTTGTTGAAAGGCTTATCTTCTACAATTATAGTTGATTTGTCATAAATGATAGTGATTCCCTCCAAAATCTCAAGAAATTAGATGTCTTAGATGAGAGAAGGGGAGACTGTAAGAAACACCACAAAAGACATGAAGACACTAGCTCTAGAAGTATTATTTTCATATTTCTAGATTCCATGGGAACCAATCTATCTATATACATAGAAGCCTAAGTGACCATCCAACCGTCCAACTGGTAGCTATGACATGTAATGACCACCTGGGGGCAGAAGCTCCAACTGGTAGCTATGATGCACACTGACTACCAGGGGGCAGATGTTCAACGCAGGAGCTGCTGAGCTGCAGTGACAGCAGCTGCAGTTGTCAGGTGATGTACCAGAAACCACAGAGAAGGAAGCCTGATTCAGGGGTGTGTCATCCAAGAACTGCCCTCTCACAACCCAGGACTCCTCAGGGGATGTCGGAGAGCCGGTTTCAGCTCAATCTCCAGTGTCAGCCCGATCCCAGCAGGCCAGCCCGGATCCGTGCACTGGGCCTCTAGTTTTCTAATGACTCTCACTGCCCCATAACCTCTTTTCATTTGAGATAGCTCAGGAAGACACTCACAGGCAGACATTTCAAATCAAAGAACCCTTTACCTTTAACATGTTTGTATTTGCTCATCTCCAGTTGTAATGAGTCCAATGGGAACGGGCAGAGTTCCTCTATTCGGATAATGGCAAATGCATGTTTTTTGGCCCCCAAAGATTCTCTTTGCTTCAGCAGGGCATAGAAGTGTTTTCCAGAGCAGAACACTAGACTCTTAACACTGTTTGGTAGAAAAGAGACAGTAGATGAGAGAGAATTACCTCAAAATGAGAATTTTATCAGAAGAAAAGGGAGACCACATAGATTTAAAGACATCACTAATAAAGCAGTGGGGCTCTGTAGTCGGGCTCAGACATATACAGTGCCCTGGCAAGCCTTCTTTAGCAACATATGCCTCCAAAGTCCACTCTTCCATGCATATGTTAACTCCTACCTCGCTCACTTAAAGGACTTAGATTATGAAGTAGGAGATCTGGGTCTCTTTGGGTTCCTTAACATGAGCTAATTCTCCCACCAATTAAAACTCTGAAAACAGAAATACATATCAAATTACTTTTTTGGGTCCACAGATGAATCACCAATGACCGGTGTGAATGTTGTTCCTGGTGCCATTTCTTGAAGAGTTGATACAGCTGCCTAAGGAGTAAGGGAAAAGCATAAATCTATCAAAGAGTGAAAGGAGCTGAAGATGCTTTTATTTACTACTATGAGGAATCTTTGCCAAGAAATAGTATCAAAATTCTCACCTAGGGACATAAGTAAACATATGTACTAATAAATACAATAGCTTTACAGAAATATTTAGTTTGGAATACTTCAGAATAAATTCTTTTCCTGAGGTTAGGTAAGATTGCCTTTTGTCTGGTGCCACAATAAAATTTTAAGAATCCAAGTTTCAGTTTGATCATACAATTTTATTATTAATAAAAAGCATGCTTTAATTATTTGGAATTAGAAGCAACGTTTTATAGATTTATACTGTGAACCAAAACAGTGAAACGAAGGCAACTATTTCTCTCTTTAAGTTTCTTATTATAAGTTTTAAATGAAACCTATAAGTCAGAACAAGTAGAAACAAGAAGTGAATATTTCTGTGATTAAAAAAAAGAAATTATTAATAAGCTCAATTTAAATAAATGTTTGTTGCAAAGAACTTAGAGTACAAAAACTGATGAAGCCAAGATTAGAGATTTGATTCCTTTTGCTATCATTTAGTTTCCCTTCAGTCTAGTCCCAAATGGGTATATGGCATTTTGCTAGGCCATTGTGGGGAGCTGGGATATTGATGCTGGGATATTGAGATATAACTTTAAAACTTAATATTAAATATTCAGCTAGTCTATTTATTAACTAATGTGATCTTTCTCCATTCTGAACCATATCCCTTCATCAGTCCTACTAGGAAGGACTAGAAACAAAAGACGCTGGGATTCAGAACTGGGTGGGAAAATGGAGTGGGATTTAGGTACCAATTGACAAAAAACTCCCGATAGCCCTGAATCATTTTTATCACGTAGCAAGTCATCTCTGAATATTCCCTGGAAAAAAAAGGGTTGATTTATATTCTAATAGATCATGTGTACCAATAATCAAATTTTCAGGAGGAAATAAGAATTCAATAACGGTCATACTCATTTTCAATTAATAAAATAATTTATTTGACTACTTAATGAGTAGTTTTTCACTTTAAAATCTATAGTATAGCTGTTGGTATTTTTTAAGGCTCCCAAATAAGGACTTTATTATAGGACAAGTTACATATTAGACTTGGGGCAAGGGGGCAAAGAGTAAAACATTAGGACCAGAATATGAACTCTTGTTCTCAGTTTCAAATAGCAAGAGATCCTCAATAAAATTTCTAGTAGTTCACTTAATACTTGATACTACACATATATTATATTTAGTATCATTACATTTGATATTGACCCTCAGAGTCAGAACTAGGGTAAGACAGATGAGGTGATTGGAGTGCAAAATTTAAGGAGGTGTTCAGTTCACTCTAGGATCACACACGTGCTGACCATAAGAGTATATCTCCTTACTCCTCTCCAAAGGCTAGGCACTGCTTAAAAATGCAACCTGTGAAAGCAGGTCACTTGCAACTTTCCTCAATACCCCTCAATTCCAAAACTACACTCTCAAACCTTTGTGCAAAGCACAAGATAGTCCTGAACAGCCATATCATAAATCATTTACCTGTATTTCACATCAGCTGTAGGATCCAAATAAGTGCAAGTTTTTTAATGTTCATTCTAATTAAGATTCTCAAGTAAAATTGGGGGGGGATAAAGTATAGCAGAAAGGATAAATAAATACTTATTAGTATTTATTACCTTAACTCTGCCATTTGAAAACTAACATATTTGTTATTTAAAATACATTGTGCACTGCCAAAACCGGTTTGGCTCAGTGGTAGAGCATTGGTCTGCGGACTGAAAGGTCCCAGGTTCAATTCCGGTCAAGGGCATGTACATTGGTTGCGGGCACATCCCTGGTAGTGGGTGTGCAAGAGGCAGCTGGTCGATGTTTCTCTCTCATCGACGTTTCTAGCTCTCTATCCCTCTCTCCTCCTCTCTGTAAAACAATCAATAAGATATATTTAATAAATAAATAAATAAATAAAATAAAATAAAATAAAATAAAATAAAATAAAATAAAATACATTGTGCACTTAACACTTAGTTCAGGTAAACCAAGAGAAAAATATACACTTTTAAAAATGTATACTTTTAAAGCCGCATACAATAAGCTATACTATTATGATGTTGTGCTTATGGAAACAGGCCTCTCTCTACCTGTGATAAATCATTTAACAGGGAAAATGTAAAAAAAAAAAAGTCAATGAATAACACCACTCCCTTTCATTAAAATGCTCTAAATTCCCAAGTTGCTATTATCAACACAGTAGTGTTTACTAGTAGACCATTAGGACTTTTAAACTTTTTCTATAAAATTGTTTCCTCTCAGACCAGAATACCAGTGTGGTAATATCTGCTATCCTGTCCTGCATTACAATGAAACTGAGAGCTACTTATAAACCAGTTATTCTTAAAAGGGGGAGAGAGAGGGAGGGCGGGGAGGTGTGTGCTGATAGGTTGATTTAGTTTTAGAAAAGCAAAGCCAACTAAAACTAAATAGATGGTTTCTGTAATTTAGAACTATAATTAGATTTTAAAAAAGAACACAGCAGAATAAAATGATGAGAGAAGAAAGGATTCCAAATAGCGTTTCCTACTTACGGGGAACCTGAGTAACATCTTTGGAGAAGCAACAATGAGGGGTTTTCTGAAGTTCCGGACCATTTGTCTCCTGAGCAAATGGAAATACTGAGCAGGAGTCGTGGGGTTCACCACAAACATGTTCACAGTGTCCCCGTCCACCCCCTCCTCTGCGCTGTCACACATCTGGAACAGAAATGAAAGAAAGGAGAACGTTCAGATCATCGCCTACAATCATAACATCTGCTCTCCAAAGGGACCACAGGCTCTCAAGGGTGAGAAGAAAATATTTCCCTCCATTACAGATAATACCAGAAAATAAATTTACAGCCTATGAACAATTAACCAAAGGAGAGGTCCGAGCTTCCCCCATTTGCTTGAGTCTGCATATTTTAACACAGTTGTTTCCAAACAGCTGATTTCAAGGAGCATCTGGAGGGGACCTTTTAAAAAATGCAGATTCTGATTACTGTGGAGTTATGATGGTGTCTTCTAATGAAATAAACACAAAAGTTTGATTTGTTTTTTAGAACAACTTGCTTACACACACGTTTTTAAATTTATTTATTTTAATATTTTTATTAATTTCAGAGAGAAAGGATGAGAGAGAGAGAGAGATAGAAACATCAATAATGAGAGAGAATAATTGGCTGCCTCCTACACTCCCACTACTGGGATTGAGACCACAACCTGGGCATGTGCCCTTGACGCAAATCAAACCTGGGACCCTTCAGTCAGCAGACTGACGTTCTATCCACTGAGTGAAACCAGCCATGGCTGTTAGCTTGTTTTAACGACAAAACAAAATCAAAAGCGGCTAACAAGGTTGAAAAAGTTGAGGACAATGAATTAAATCTCAGAAGATCCTGGTGTAGCAAAAAGCTAAGACATGGCTCCTAACCCCACTCCAGAAACAATGGAGAGAAAAGAAAGCAGAAGAATCCTGACAATTATTACTAGTCCTCTCCAATTTGGAGAGAGGGTGTGCATAGTCAACCCTAGTGGGAAAATAAAGGCAGCAGTTAGAGCAGAAGCCACTACAGAGCTCAGTGCAGGTGACGAGGCTGCCAGGCTTGCCACTTCCAGGGTATGAGATCCGTTTCATTCAAATACTATAATGTCTGGCAGTTTAAGGCACACATTAAGTACCTGCAGGCAGCAATTCTAGTTCAAAACCTTTCAGAATCATGAAAACATTCCTGGGAATCAAAAAGGCATTGGACATACCTGCAAGAAACGCTCTATGCGACAAGAGGAGTGGTCAGGTCCAGCCCCGTCGTACCCGTGGGGCAGGAGAATCACAATGCCGCTCTGCAGGAGCCACTTGGCCTCTCCTGGAAAACAGTAGGAGGGAGTGAGACCTCTGTGAGCAGAAATGAAAGGTCTGATCTGATCTGGGTAGAGGAACAAATGTTAGTTGCCTGCCTGACCCACTAGAACCATTTTCATTACATGTACTGTCCAGCATTGTTACACCATGGTTGGGAGAAAAAAAATACCCATCCTACCAGCTGAAATCCTGGAATGGCTCATATTGGGATTTATTTAGCAAGTGGAACACAAACTCAACAGTAGCCACCCGGCTCCCAGAACAGCATGGCCATGCCGAATCCACTCAGGCACGACTCTTACCAAGACTGGACAGATCCTTCTTTTCCCTCACAGATCCCCTGACAACACAGGCCACTGTCCTCAATTTCAAGACACAGGCACTTTAGAACAGTCTCTGGACATGTCAAAGTCCAGTTTCCTTAAGGCACGTTTCTTTTTATTGTTGTTTTTTTATTGTAAATTACATTTACTGGAATGACATTGCTTGGCATGTTTCTTACTCACAACTACACAGACAGAGTAACAGAACCAAGGGAAGGATCTATAGTGCACACTCATAATCCAAGAGTGCTTACCCCCCAAAATGGGGTGAGCACATGGGGAAGACTCATACTTGTACTTTATATACTTTGAATTTTCACAGGAAGCAGGTCCTGCTTTAGTAAGGGTTTATTAAAAAAGATCAAGATGCACAACTTCCAATGTTCAGATACTTGAGTGTCTCTGGGTTGAGGGAAGCAGATTTTCAAGACTGACGTTCACTCTGCTCACAAATCCTCATGTGTGACCATTCCCTGCTTGTGATTAATGTCACAGCTAATCAACAAACCTCAAAAGTAGATCTGAAAGTCAAATTACTTAGGACCTGGTAGATACATGTCCTGCTTTCTATAGCCAAACACCTTCCCCCACAGATGGGAAGGCGCTCCCTGCATAGCAGCTGAGTGGTACTCAGTTTATTTAACTCTGATAGCTGCCATGCCCCAGTGGATGATAGGGCAACCTCCAACTCTCCCCAGGAACTGTGGTACAAGGAGTTTCAAAAGCAGCTGCAGCTCCTTTTCATTCATTTGCCCCCATAAGGCCAGCATCGTGCATCCACTATACACCCATATGCCAAAACCAACCTCCAGAGATGAACGTGTCGAAGATGATCTGGGCACCATTGAAGAAATCGCCAAACTGAGCCTCCCAGATGGGCAGTAACTTAGGGCTCTCAATGCTCATCCCATACTCAAATCCCAGGACAGCCTCCTCTGACAATGGGCTGTTGCTGACCTGATGCAAAGGAAGAGAACAGAGACACTGTCATGGCAGAGAAATGGCAACATGAGTCAGTAAAGGTCACAGATTCACATTTATACAAACCTCTTAAGAGGGAGGAAAAGCAGACAGAGAAGCTTTGTTTTTAGTTGCCTCTATATGCCCTAGGAAAAAGCCCTTTATGAGTGATGCATATGGGAAAGTTGGAACAAAAAGAGGAAGATATGAAAGATGTTAGAATATGGGCATTGAAGATTTTCTCTAAGGATTAGCAAAATTGATGTAGCAGAAGACCCACCTTTGGAGGTGAGAATAAAACTGTGTCATATAAGCTTTTTAAAAAAAAAATGTCACAGCACAGCCAGTGTGTCAGTAGATTACAGGATCATCCCATGCACCAAAAGGTCTTGGGTTTGATTCCTGGTCACGGTTGCAAGTTCGATCCTTGGCCCCAGTTAGGGTTTGTGCAGGAAGCAGCTGATTGATGTTTCTCTCTCACATTAGTGTTTCTCTCTCCTTCCCAGAGGGCAGAGCCTCCTCTCACCTAGCCGTCTGGCACTTCAGGGCAATGCCTCCCCTGTTTTTCAGTTCTAAATTCAAATTTGTTGTGGTAGGCTGCATTCGGGTGTCTACCCTATGCCGCCATCTCGGTTTCTCCCCAACACCCATTTTTAATAAAAACTCTCAGCAGTGTGGGAATAGAGAGATCATATCCTAAATAATAAAACCCTAATATGTTACTTGTCTGGTCATCAGGTCATCCGTTCAACCAATCAAAGTGTAATATGCTAATGATATGCTAAGAATGCTCAACCACTTGCTATGATGTGGACTGACCACCAGGGGTCAGACAGTCAACCAGTCAAACAGTTGCTATGACGTTCACTGACCACCAGGGGGAAGATGCTCAAACTAGTAAGTTAGCTTGCTGCTGGGGTCTAGTAAAACAAGACTGGGCTAGACAGGCCAGACATGCCTTAGAGCCCTCCTATGGTCCCTCCCCAGCTGGACAACCTCCTACATCCCCAGCCCCGAATAGTGTAACAGTGGGGTCCCTCAGCCTGTCCTGCGCCCTCACACATTCTGGGAACCCTCAGAGAATGTCTGATAGCCAGTTTCAACCTGATCCCCCAGGCCAGGCTGAGGAATCCCACTGGTGCACAAATTCGTGCACCAGGCCTCTAGTCTCAACATAACAGTCATATATGACAAACCTACAGCCAACATCATACTCAATGGGGAAAATTAAAACCATTTCACCTAATAACAGGAACAATACAGGGATGTTCACTTTCACCACTCCTATTCAACATAGTACTAGAAGTCCTAGCCACAGCTATCAGACAAGAAGAAACCAAAAAAGGCATCCAAATTGGAAAGGAGGAAGCAAAACTCTCATTATTTGCAGATGACATGATATTGTACATAGAAAACTATAAAGATTCTACCAAAAACTACTAGATTTAATAAATGAATTTTGCAATGTAGCAGAATACAAAATTAACACCCAGAAGTCCATGGCATCTTTATACACCAACAATGAATTCTCAGAAAGATAAACTAAACATCAATCCCATTTACAATTGCAACAAAAAGAAATATACTTAGGAATAAACTTAACCAAGGATGTAAAAGACCTACCTAAAAACCGCAGGATGATGAAAAAAGAGATAAAGATATAAACAAGTGGAAAAATAAAATGTGTTCATAGACTGACAAAATTAACATCATTAAAATTTCCATACTCTCCAAAGCAATCTATAGATTTAATACAATCCCTATTGAATTACCAATGGCATATTTCACAGATATAGAACAAATACTCCAAAAATGTATAGAGGACCCTGAATAGCTGCAGCAAGCTTAAGAAAGAAAAACAAAGTTGGAGAAATCACAATACCAGGTATCTATATATATAAAAGACTAAGTGCCAGTCCTTCCCACCAACCGGTAGCTATGATGTGTAATGATCAACAGGAGGCAGATGCTCTATGCAGTAGCTATGGCACGCACTACCACCAGGAGGACACAGGAGCTGCCATGATGTGCACTGCCCATTTAAAAATAAATGGCACCATGGAACTGGTGCCGGCAAACAAACACTTGGTTTCCGCCAAGTGAGACACAGGCCCCACCACCACCCTGGAGTGACACCCCACCAAATCTCAAACAATGCTGCAAGACCCCATTGTGCAAAATGCTGCCCACAGCCCAGCCCAGAAACAGGCGCTGTAGGTGTTGAGTAATGACATCACGTAGCAACGCCCAGCTTCCTCTCTTTAGCGACTAGATTCCTTGGAGTTTCTTCAGTGCAGGAACCTGACTTGCTTTATAGCCAGGTACAAACATTTTACAGTTTAACCAAATGTCTATGAAGTGTTTTCACATGTGTCATCTCATTTGATCCTCACGGAAGTCCTGGAGTAAGTAATTAGGAGACTCAGTAGAATTCAATTTTCTTTTCATTAGCAAGACAACAGAGATTTAGAGAGTTCAGAAACTTAACCTGATTGAAAAGAAGTAAGAAATGGTGGAAGGATTGGGCCTAAGCTAGCAGTCAGACACCCCTCTCACAATCCAGGACTTCTGGCTCCTAACTGCTCCTCCCTGCCTGCCTGATTGCCCCTACCCGCTTCTGCCTGCCAGCCTGATCACCCCCTAACGGCTCCCCTCCCAGCCTGATTAACCCCAAACTGTTCCCCTGCCAGCCCAATCACCCCCAACTTCCCTCCCCTGCCAGTCTGGTCACCCCCAACTGCCCTCCTCTGCAGGCTTGGTCACCCCTAACTGCCCTCCCTTGTCAGCCTGGTTGCCCATAACTGCCCTGCCCTGCCAACATGGTCACCCCCAACTGCCCAACATGCAGGCCTGGTCACCCCTAACTGTCCTCCCCTGCATGCCTGGTCACCCCCACTGCCCTCCCCTGCAGGCCTGGTCTCTTCCAACTGATCTCCCCTGCTGGCCTGACCGCCCACAACTGCCCTCCCCTGCAGGCTATCTTGTTGCGGCCATCTTGTGTCCACATGGGGGCAACCATCTTCTGTGTTAGAGTGATGGTCAATTTGCATATTACCTCTTTATTAGATAGGCTAAACAATAATTCTATAACTATAATCATTAGCATATGGATTTTCAAATAGGTAAGAAAACATCCTACCTCTAGAAACCCCTTCTGATGAGGGTCCATATGGTTCAGAGGGATGTAGGTGTCATCAGTCTTCTGGCAAACAACCATTGCATGTCTCTGACTAAACGTTCCTCGGCCAACATCTTGGCCACTCAGACGGACATTATAACCTTAAGCAATCAAAAGGCGGGGAAAACCAGATTCCTCTGAATAACCTAGTAATAAGACATGGTGACCCTAAAGTTTTACATATCAACTTATCCTGAGAGTTTTCTTAGCATGATAGATTATCCTTATTCAAATATACCAGTCCTATATGTAAAGTTCTGTAGTCAAAGTGAGATTGTATAAGAATGGAGAGTCATCATTTACCCTACAGTTTTTAGAGGAAAATATCCAGCCCTGAGCTCTTTTATTCCAGGTATGTTGCTCTATTCTCTGTTGAAGGTTGTCAACATGATATACTAAGATTAAATAATATTGTCAGATAAGAAAAGATAATGTGTTTTAGAATCTCTCTGGTCAATAAAAATAATAGTAGGTAGCTATCACTTAAAAATCTGCAGAATCACATGTATCAAACATCATATTAAAACATCTCCTACCAGCTGTGCAGGTAAACAGAAACGTCTTACCTTCAGCAAGCAATGAGCCTAAGGCAAGAGCTTCTGCTGTGGCCCAGTCTAACTTGGTTCCATCCATCACCTTCTCCAGCCTAGACTGTAAAATTGAATGGGGAGAGAAAGTTATTCTTTTTCACAGAGTTAAAAAAAAAAAAATGTAATGCAACAATGGGAAGTATCAGAAACAATGTTAAACAAAACAGAAAGTGCAGAAGAATACATGAAAGTCTGATAGCAATCATCTGTCATCTTAAAACAGGCAAAATACACAGGTGCTCAGGTTAGTTGTTCATCCTGTGGATGAATGAGAGATGGCAGCAGGGAGGGTTTCACAGGGAACTTATTTATAATATTCTATTGCTTCACCTGGATGGTGAATGCATAGTTTGTTTTAATAGTCTCTATATCTATAATCAAAACCCCCAAATGGCCCCAGCCACTTTAGCTCAGTGGTTAGTGTGTTGGCCCACAGATTGAGGGATTGTGGGTTCAATTCCAGTCAAGAGAGTACTTCAGTTGCAGGCTCAATCCCCAGTCCCAGGAGGGGTGCATGCCCAATCGATGTGTCTTCTCACATCCATGATTCTCTCTGTGTGTCTCTCACTATCTGTTCACTCTCTAAAAATAAATGGGGGGGAAATATCCTCAGGTGAGTATTAACAAAAAACAAAATGAAGTTAGTGTTTTAAAAATATTTCAAAAGGCCCTGGCTGGTTTGGCTCAGTGGATAGAGTGTCAGCCTGCAGACTAAAGGGTCCCAGGTTCAATTCCAGCCCAGGACACATGCTTTATCCCCAGTGGGGGATGTGCAGGAGGCAGCCAATCAATGATTCTCTCTCATAGATATTTCTATTTCTCTTTCCCTCTTCCTTCCTCTGTGAAATCAATGAAAATCTATTTTAAAAATAAATAAATAATAATTCAAAAGGCAGTCTCTTCATCCAAGTTTAAGAAAGACGAAGATCTTTAACTGAGAGCCAGGCAAACCAGAAGTGTTTGTTACATGCATAATGTGAGACAATATATGAAACCTCAACATGATTCAGGCTCTAAACAGTTGACTCTGGGATGTGTATGTTGATTTTTATTTATTACATTTAAGGCACCCAAAAGAATTAAAGTGTTTTCTGGTTAGAACAATCCAAACAGGCCTTTTGGTATCGCTGTACCCTATATAATAAAAGGCTAATATGCAAATCAGCCAAACCATAGAACTGGTTGCTATGACTTGCACTGACCAGCAGGGGGTAGACACTCAACCCAGGAACTGCCCCTTGGTAGTCAGTGTACTCCCACAGGGCGAGTGCCACTCAGCCAGAAGCCCGGGCTCAAGGCTAGCAGCACAGTAGCAGTAGGCAAGAGCCTCCACAAGGATGTCCAACTGATCACCCAGGAAGCAGGCCTAAGCTGGCAGGTGGAGATCCTGGACTGCGAGAGGGTGCAGGCCAGTCTGAGACACTCCCCCTCACCTCCCCAGTGCATGAATTTTCATGCATCAGGCCTCTAGTATTTAATAATGTACATGTAGTACATGTACATTTAATATATTAAACATGTATAAGTGAATGAATGAACGAGGGAAGGAAGGAAGGAAGGAAGGAAGGAAGGAAGGAAGGAAGGAAGGAAGGAAGGAAGGAAGGAAGGAAGGAAGGAAGGAAGGAAAAAGAGAAGCAGACAAAATCTGAGTTAATTGACTATCAGTATCAAAACGCCACTAGAATCTGTTCCTAGAACATAACAGCATACAATAAATATTTAGCAAACAAATTAGCCAGCCAAATGACCAAATATCAATTTGCACAAGAAACAAACAATAATCAGAGATTTCAGGGCTCCCCACCTGAACATACATCTTCAGAAGGTGACTGTGCATCTGGAGTTCCTCCGGCACCTCCACAGACTTGCCGCCAATAAACCGAAGGAGGTCTACGGGCACACCTGTGTTCCAGGTGGTAATGCAAGCTTCTGGCTGAGCCAGGCCCTGCCAGTGGGCCTGCAGGTGAGTGGCAGGGGGGCTATAGTGGGCCAGGTTATTTAAATGGTCATTTAACTTTGCATAGTAGGAGGCCTTGATTTCTGACACCTCCTCCTGGGTCATGAGTCCATTGGCAATAAGGTGCTCTGCATAAGTGTCTGGAATGCTCTTCCGGGCTCTGTCCAAGGAAGAAAAGGAATAAATCAACCTGATTTGTAAACATCAAAGAGAGACAGATACAGTTATTGTCAAAGATATGTGGTGTGTCTTCGCTGTAAAAGGGCATATGGGAAAAGCTTTGGAACTAGATAGAGGGGTTGTTGTATGTCATTGTGAATGTAATAAGTGCTATTGAATTTTAAATGGTCCATTTAATGCCATGTGACTGTCACTCCAATAAATAATTTTCTTCAAAAAGGCAGTGGTGAGTAACAACTTCATCCAGGGAAGCAAGAGAAAACAAATTTATCTTTATGAATTTTCATCTACATTCCGGTAGAAATAATTAGTAATTTTTCAATCAACTGGTAAATTCAGTTATTCATAGGACTGACCTACATAATCTACCCATTCAGCACCTCTTTGTTTTTAAAAAAATATTAAACCCAAAATTGCCAACATCTGTTCCAGGTGTCTTTAAGAATCCTGAACCTGCTCAGCTCCAATAATAATAATGCCACTCAATATTTGCATAACACTTTAAACTATAAAGTCTGATCAGATTTATTACCATATTTAATTCTGACCGAAGTGAGAGGTTAGCAGGATAGATTATTTTAAATGGGGCACTGGGGAACACCAAGTAATTCAGCTGCTACGCTGAGAGCTAAATAAAGAACCCAGATTTGTTCTTCCAAAAGCAGTCTGCTCCCTATGACTAGAAAGGCTCGTAAAATGTCACCAAGTTATTTCCCTCTGCTTTAATTTATATCTATGAGGAAATAAAGTAGAGAAGAGGGATCTATTTTTACTTCTTACTTTCTAAAAAGTGACATTTTTCTCTGTCACATTAATCCTCTGACTCAGCACTGAAATACACTGAGTGGCCAGATTATGATGATCTCTGAACGCATAATAATCTGGCCACTCAGTGTACTTATGTATAAGGGAAAGCTTGCAAATCTTGATATGCCAAGGGACCAGGAGATAGTGGCCCCCAGCCTCTGGCTAGTAAGTCCTCTGCTTCTTACTACCCACAATGCAGTTCTTATACATGGAAAAACCTTATTTTAAAATCCCAACTCTGTGGTCAGTCTACACTGAGTGGCCAGATTATTATGCGTTCAGAGATCATAATAATCTGGCCACTCAGTGTCTAATACAAGCCAATGTGAAATTTAAAATTTGCTAGTGGTCACATTAGAAAAGGTAAAAAGAAACAGGTAGAATTTAAATCACATTTATTTAAATCAATATATCCAAAATATTGTCATTTACTATCTAGTTAATATAATTAATTGTTGAGATAGTTAATATCTTTTTTTCATATTAAATCTTTGAAATCTGATGTGTACATTACATTCACAGCATGTCTCCATGAAGACTCACCACATTTCAAGCGTTCAGTAGCCACTTAAGTGACTGCTATGTTGGACAGTACAGTTCTGGACTTTCATTAAAATCCAACATGGTGCCAAGGTACAGAGTAGGTCCCCATCTCTAGTTTGCAGAAGTGGATCATGGAAGTTCTGTTACTCACCCTGTTAATGCCATACTAAGTAACTTCAGGCAAGGCCCTGCCTTAGTCCTCCTATTCCATCTTCCCATCTGCTAAGTGAGGTTGTTGAGTGGCCCACTTTGCCTGTTCATTGACGAAATATGTAGAATTTAAAGAATATGGGGAGCTTTCCTAACACCCTTAGGATGACCATCCCAGTCTGCCCAGGACTATGGAGGCCCAGTGTTAGCACTGAAAGCTTCGTGTCTCACACAAACCAGGAAAGTTGGTCATTCTAATTGAGGATGTCTAACAAAAAGCATGTGACACTAAGGGGGAGAGGGCACGTTAAGTGAAGGTGTATAATTGTACCTGATGATTTTGTACATGACTGGGTTGGTGAAGAAAGGCTCATCCAGCTCGTTGTGGCCCCACTGCCTGTAGCACAACAAATCAACAATCACATCTTTCCGGAATTGCCGCTGGTATTCAAAAGCCAGTCGAGTGGCACGGACCACTTCCTCTGGGCTATCTCCATTGACATGGATGATGGCACAGCCCACGAGCTTCCCTGAGGCAGAGAAGACAAGATGAAGTGAGCCAGACTAAACTAGTCCAGCTCCAAGTCCTGTGCCTGCAAGGAGAGGCAGCCCACATCTTCAAAGAGAGTTTGAATTGGTTGTTGTCTAAAATTTTGGAGTCCAACTGACAAGAATAAGTTCAAATCACAATTCTATGACTTATTGTGTGACCTTGATAAAGTTATGAATCTTACTCTCCCTATCTATAACACTGGGATAATAGCTCCTACTTCTTAGCATTATTGTAAAGATTAAATGAGTTAATGCATATAGAGTACTTAAAAGTGCCTGGTGTGTAATAACAGTTATTTTATTATTGACATTATTACTATTAATGCATCCTATGGGGAAAAATAAGATTTTCTCCAAAGAGGAATTCAAGAATGAGTTTTCAGTATCTCTAACTAATCACAAAAAATTCACATAGTCCCAAAGCACATCCGGGCCAGGCTCTGGGTCTGAGACAGAATAGATCCTACCATCTCACATTTCTTATAACTCTGTGAAATAGGGAATGGTATTAAAAGCTCTGCATTTCTGCCCTGGCCAGGTGGCATAGTTGGTTAAGAGTGTCTTCCCGATACACCAAGGTTTCAGGGTCGATCCCCACCTAGGACAAACATCAGAAGCAACCAAGGAATGCATAAATAAGTGGAACAATAAATGGATGTTTCTTCCTCTCTCTAAAAATCAATAAATATCATTTAAGTATATAGATATTTAGAATCCTGCATTTTTCTTAATACTGCCAATTTTCTTTGATTAAAACAAGGCAACCGTCATTCTTCACATCTGATGTCTAACCAGACTACTTGGCCAAATTTAGTGGCTGAACATATATCATTTAAAAAAAAAATTGAGCCCTAGCCAGTTTGACTCAGTGGATAGATCATCAGTCAGGGAACCACAGAATCTCGGGTTCAATTCCAGTCAAGGGCATGTATCTTGGTAGCAGACTCCTCCCTGGCCTGGGCCCTGGTCAGAGCTCATGCAGGAGGCAACCAAAAGATGTGTTTCTCTCACAATGATGTTTCTGTCTTTCCCTCTCTCTTCCACTCTCTAAAAGCCAATGGAAAAATATCCTCAGGTGAGGATTAAAACATAATAATAAGAATAAATAAGTTAAATTTGACATATTAAAATTAATAAATTCAAATATACAGAATATTACTTTGATACTTTAGATATTGTTATATGATTGCCATTGAAGCAATATTTATCACATTATGCCAGTATAGTGCAGTATTATTGACTATATTCATTATGTACTACACATCAGATTTCTGTAGCTTACTTACTATTCATTATTATTCACTCATTTGTACCTTTATCCTTCTCCCCGACCCTGATCCCCTGGTAACCACCATTTTACTCTGCTTTTTCACATCTGTGACTTTTTTTTTTTTTTTTTTTTTTTTTTAGGATTCTACATATAAATGATATCATACAATACTTTTCTTTTGCTGTCTGACCAATCTTGCTTAGCATACTGTGCTCAAAGATCCATCCACATTGGCACAAATGGATGGCAGGATGTATTCCTTTCTCATGACTGAACAGTACTCAATGTGTATACCTACCATTTTTCTTTATCCATTCACCCAGTGATGGACATTTGCGCTGCTTCCATATCTTGGCTATTATGAATAATGCTGTCATAAACATGGAGTGCAGGTATCTTGTCGAAATCCTGTGTTCATATCCTTTGCATACATAGCCAGAGTGGATTTTCTGAATTTTATGCTACATCTATTTTTAATTTTTTGAGGAATCTCCATATTGTTTTCCATTGTGGTTGGACTAATTTACATTCCCACCAACAGTGCATCAGAGTCCCTTTTTATCACATCCTCACCAGCACCTGTTGTCTCTTGTCTTTTTTATTCAGAGGTTTGTGTGGTACCTCATTGTGGTTCTGATTTGCATTTCCCTGATGATTAGTGACAGTGAGCACCTTTTCATGTGCCTGTTGGCCATCAGTATATCTTCTTTGGGAAAAGGTGTATTCAATTCCTCCCCCTTTTTAATCTAATTGTTTTTATTATTGTATTAGTTCTTTATATATTTTAGACATTAATCCCTTATTGAATTAAACATATCCTTTTTTACTAAGATTTGAGTACTCAAAGTTTGAACATTGTAAAGACAATTACTTTAATGCTGACTAATTGTGTTGATCTCTTGTTTCCAGATCATTTAACTGGATATTTAAGCAATTTGAGATTGCACCATCTAAGTTCCACTCTAGTCTTATTTCCTTGGATGTAACAACTATGCTCAAAGTTTAAAATAAATATTAACTAACAACACTGAAAGTATCTGATCCAAAATTTAAAATGGGCTAACCAGTGAGGCTCGCTGTTCCAAGTTGAACTAAAAGTTTCTCTAGAAATTGCTTGTCTGACCCAGCAACACCAACAATTCTGTGTTACATACCAATATCGCTGCAGTATAAGGAAGACCTTCCTCTTTCTGCCGGAGTGGTGTAACCCAGCTGGTTATTGACAATCAGGTGGACACTTCCACCAATTCTGAAATGTGGGAGATTAGAGAGTGTAAATGTTTCAGGGACAATCCCTTGACCACAGAAAGAAGCATCACCGTGAACCTAAATTATGGGGGAGAATAAAAAAGAAAGAACACAATGAAAAATTTTTATGTTTTCAGACTGGAATAAATTGTTTTCAAATAATAACAGGAATAAAAACAACCACCTTCTCACTGCTCCCCTGCCCTCCTAAAAATCTGCTGGTTGAAGGGTTTTCTCGAATAGTTATGCTGATCTAAAGCAATTTTCAAAGATGCTAAATCAGTTATTTTCCTCTTGCAGCTACTACCAGTTGACCTACTCTCTCCATCCCATATCGTCACCTATTCCTGGTATTCTAGTACACTCATCAACAGAAGGAAGGGCTCTTGGAGGTTCAGGAAGGAAAATCAGGCCTACTAAAACTTTCATGGAAACAGGTTGTGAGATATAAGGAACAGTGCACGGCTTTGAACTCTCCCTTTGCCCAGTGAAACCCCCAATCAACTGCTTTGAGAAAAAAACAAAATGTTATGAGAGAATGTCTAAAATATGCTACTCTTCAAAAATATTTGAAGTCTGCTAGATCACAGTATCACAAAAGAGAAGGAGGATTTTTTTTTTTTTTTTAAAGAAAAGCTAAAAGATGCCGAAACTGGTTTGGCTAAGTGGATAGAGCATCGGTCCGCTGACTGAAGGGTCCTAGGTTCGATTCCGGTCAAGGGCATGTACATTGGTTGCGGGCACATCCCCAGTAGGGGGTGTGCAAGAGGCAGCTGGTTGGTGATTCTCTCTCATTGATGTTTCTAGCTATCTATCCCTCTCCCTTCCTCTCTGTGGAAAATCAATAAAATATATTTTAAGCCGAAACCGGTTTGGCTCAGTGGTAGAGCGTCGGTCTGTGGACTGAAAGGTCCCAGGTTCGATTCTGGTCAAGGGCATGTATCTTGGTTGCGGGCACATCCCCAATAGGGGGTGTGCAAGAGGCAGCTGGTCGATGTTTCTCTCTCATCGACATTTCTAGCTCTCAATCTCTCTCCCTTCCTCTCTGAAAAAAATCAATAATATATAATATATATACATATATGTGTGTGTGTGTATATTTATATATATGTAAAAGATTTAAGAATATATATATATTTTAAAAAAGAAAAAAGAAAAGCTAAAAGCTAATAATGAGGAAATTATAGATCTTAGAAGATCTTAGAAGAAAATATAAGCCTTACAGACTTTATGCTAAAAAAGACAATTATCATAAACAGCTAAGATGCTGAACTAAAGAATAAAATGATCTGATGTGCCCTAACTTAAAGCAACCTTTATGGCTCTAATGATAACAGAATTAAATATTAATTTATTTTCCTAAATATGAGTTAAGGAAAAATACTTAGAAGTTCATTTTTAATAATATTGTTCATGTCCCAAGGAGAGTTATTTTTATATAAGTAGAATATTTTGAGTAAGAAAGAAAACACTCCTCTGCCTAAGTGAAATTTCCAGTCCACACCTCCCCATTGCTGGGATCCAGAGGGATAACTGACATTGTGCAATATTTATACATAGCGATAACATACCCTTACATTATCTCCACAGCACGAAACACTATCTCTACTGATCCACTCAACAGCCAGGCTGGAGGGAGGGTGCAGATAAGGAAGTCACTACTGTCCTTTTAACAGATGAGAAAACCTAGGTTCAGAAACAGTATATATTTCACATGGCTAGCACTAGACACTAGACCTTCTCTGATTGTGATATCACCTTTATTTTATTATTTTATTTTATTTTATTTTATTTATTTATTTCCCCACTCCTCCAAGCCATTTTCCTGGGTTAAGGAATTTATTATGTACCTGTTCTCATGTAATCCTCAGAATACAATGAGGAATTAATATACTCTCATTTTACCTATGAGATTCAGAGAACAATGTAAAAACCAAACATGCCAAACTACAAGGCAACAAAGCCAAGACGTGAACTCGGGTCTTCTTGGTTCCAGAGGCCTTATCTTTTCTACACTTGCTACATTGTAAATCCAGCCGGCAGCCACACAGGTTCAAGGGGTTTCTCACCCTTAGACTCCCTTGCTGATGGGATTCATTGTGGGGAAGGATGTAAATGGAGGTCAGCAAAGCAAGGAAGAAAGGTAAGTGCCTTTTCTGCTCCTTTACAAAATGTTACAGTAGAGGCTTTCATAAGAACATATGTTCATAACTTGCCTCATTTTATCCTGGCCTTAGGATTCTTGGCACTAAAGCATACCTGTCAAGTGCTAATTTTATTTTCCCTCTTAAATAAAGAAAGAAACCACTCCATTACACTCCATAAAGCTCTGTGGGATTAAGGGGCCATAAGCACAAACAAATGCTGGGTGAAGTGGCAGCCATGCAGTCAAACACCACTGGGAGGTGAGGAGTGGGGAGCTTGGACACACACAGGAGATCACAAATGAGAATCCACTTTTATCAGGTCCAAAACTAAGAAAAACAGAGGACAGGCAGAAAAAAGTAGCATCTCACTCACCATGATTTTATAGGCTCCAAATTTAGAGTTCCCACAAGAAATTAGAATTGTGTACTTGAGCAAGGCATGCAAAACAGAGCAGGGAAAATATTTTGGGAACATGAAGCAGACAAAGGTGGACAGTCAGTTTCTCATAACGTCAAAGAAAATGCAATTTTTACCTCTGAAGTAAATCAATCTTAAGATCTGCTTAATGTAGCGAGAAAATGTAAATGACTACCTTTAATGTGGAGGTTCTTGACTTCACTTAGGAAAAATTTTGTATCATGAATTAAGTCAAGAGAAAGGTAAACCTGTCTTTGTAATTTTATAGAACAAATAAAACACATGCAAAATCAGTAAGTAAGGTGAAGGGATGAAAAAGCACAAATTGCCTTAACTAGTTTTGCTCAGTGAATAAAGCGTCAGCCTGCGGACTGAAGGGTCACAGGTTTAATTCTGGTCAAGGGCATGAAACCTTGGTTGTTGGCACATCCCCAGTGTGGGGCATGCAGGAGGCAGCTGATCGATGTTTCTCTCTCATTGGTGTTTCTAACTCTCTATTCCTCTCCCTTCCTCTCTGTAAGAAATCAATAAAATATATTTTTTTAAAAAGAAGCACAAATTGATAGTTACTAAACAGTCTCATGTAAAGTACAGCATAGGGAATATAGTCAATAACATAGATGGGGCCAGGGAGGGAAGGTGGTACTGGAAATATTGAGAAGAACACGTTGTAAAGCACAGGATTGTTTAACCATATACTGTATATCTGAAACTAATGCAAAATAATATTGAATGTAAACTGTAATTAAAAATAAAAATTTTAAAAAGAAAAAAGAGAGACTATCTGGCTAACTATTTGGAGTTTTCTATTTAAAAATACTGTGGCAGCATAGGAAGAAGCTAGGGAAATTCCTTGACAAGTGAAATAAGGAAAACTGAGACCAAAAAAAATTAAAGAAGGCCAAACAATTTCAGCAATTTACAGACAGCTAATGAATCACAAGATTTTATCTTCCCTAATCGAGGACACTTAGAAGCAAATAAATTTACACATTCCAGACTGTCTCGGGGCAGACAGCTCCGGTCCCAGTCCTCTTCAATGATGCTCTTTGAATGTAAAACTAACCCCAAAACAACCCCTGACCCCTCTCTATATGCACAATTTGATGAATCAACATATTGAAGGACATCTTCTGTTAAGACCCTCCCCTGAGACCTCCCTCAGATTCTGGCCAGCCAAAGAAAGATAAAAAGCCTCAAGACAAAGGACCCACAGCACACTCTCGCTAAAGCATGCCCACACCTTGTATCTCTGCTCTCTTTCTCCTAAACTCTAAGGGTCCCCAAAAGATTTACAACCAGGGGAGTGATGGGCATCGGCAGCTCCTCCCGGCTTTCCCCCTGAACCTGTGTCCAAGGCCTCCATTTTCTCTGAATTTCCAGTGAACTGATAGCAGCCCCAAAGTGGCTTACTTGTCGCTGTGACTTTTACTTCCCAGTGAGCTAACAGCAGCCCGGCCTAGGCTCTCTCCGGTGGCTTCTTCTACCTTAAGCCCTTCCTTTGTTTCACTGTCCCCAACTGTAATAAACATGCTCTCAAAATCATCTGGACTGGTGTTGTGAAATCTTTCCTAAGTGAAGTCAAGAACCCACACACTATGGCAGGCCCTAGGCAGACTTGCTCTGGACCCAGATCCCATACACTAATCAAATCCAGTCTGCCCATCCCCAAGTATTTTCTACAAGTTTCTGGCCATTGAAAAATTAACATGAATAAGATACCGTGGTTATCTGTATACACAGCCACATATTCTACTGTCTTATATATATCGATAGTTTGTAGATTTCTGTTGGGTTTGAAGACTTGGTTACTGATATCCAGTATTATTTATCCCCTAATAGTTAAAGGTTCACATTGAAATGAACACTCCTATTTAAAAAAAAAAAAAAAAAAAAAAAGCAAGCTGGACTGCCATTGCTCAGTGGTTGATCCAGGTTGCAGGCTCCATCCCCAGTAGGAGTCATGCAGGAGGCAGCCAATCAATGATTCTCTCTCTTTCTTCCTCTCCCTTCCTCTCTCTAAAATCAACATATATATATATATATATATATATATATATATATATATATATTTTTTTTTTTTTTTTTTTTTTTTTAAGGGACCCATAATCCAAACCTCTAAAAGATACCTTTTGAGTTATGAAAAATCTGGGGGAGGTGCAGGGGAAGCAAGAGCCACACTAATAATTTGTATCCTTTTGTTGTTGTTGTTAATCCTCACCCAAGGATATTTTTCCTTTGATTAATTTTTAGAAAGTGGAAGGGAGGGAGAAAGACAGAGAAAGAGAAACATGGATGTGAGAGAAACACATTGTTGCCTCCCACATGCTGCCAACCAGGGCCAGGGATTGAGCCTGCAACAGAGGTACTGCCCTTGCCCTTGACTGGAATCAAACCCAGGACCCTTCAGTTCTCTGGCCTGATGCTCTATCCACTGAGCCAAACCAGTAAGGGCAATAACTTGTATTCTTTACCTTAATACCAAAAACCATCACTTTAGAACAAACAAGCAAAAAATAAATAAATAAATCCAGACTCGTGTAGCCTTGTTAGATATATGGGTACCATGTGGTTTCCTAGAAGGCCATACTTTCAGAGAAGCAATGACATCCATCCTCCCAGCAGTAGTAGGTATGCCAGTCAATAACCCCTTAATCATAACTTGAGAAAGGAAAAGCACAGTGAAAACGAGTCTGAAGTCCGTTGCCTTGACTCTAGACTTCATATCAGTTATTGATTTTTAAAACAACCCCAGAAAATTATTTTCCCTAAAAGTTCATCTCAGTTTCATCTTGAACACCTGCCATCTCCTTTCAGACCTACCAACTTGGACATTCTTTCTCCCTCATCTTCCCACACCCTGACCACACTTTATGAAGTTGGAAGTACCTGCAAGCAAATGACTTTGTCCCCAGGCTGAGCTGAAGCGTCCGGAGAGTAGTCCCCATCCTGTCTAGACTGCTGCCTTCCCCGAGTCTTCCCGACAGCCACGGGGTTAACAGCTTCCAGGTGTGAGGGGTTAGGCAGCATCGTCACATGCAGGGGATGGTGTGCACCAAAGTCCAGGTCAACTGAGGAGGTCAGGTGAGACAGGACATCTCCAGTGGCTGGTACATTTTCCGGAAATTCACTTAAGCCTCGCATTTTGCGAAACATCAGCTATTGCAGATACACATACAAGAAAAAAAAAGGTTTTTTTTAATCATAACTGAGAAGTGGCTAGTTTAAATTATACAATATAAAGGAACTTCGTGCACATGCTTTTATACTTATTACCATCCATTATTTAAAGATATGCACAAACTTCTAACTGCTCCAATGCACAGAACTTTTTTAATACCTTCAAAATCAAATGACGTAACACTTTATGAGGAGTCTAATATGACATAGACTGTAAGTTACCTCCGTCTTGCAGTAGACATAATAATTTTCTTAAATACACACTTGTTAGAATATGTTTTCAAAATAACTTTTTCAATTAATTTCATTAAAGGTCGAGAGGGAAATAATAGAACTTAATCCCGTTTAGAAAGGAGACAACTATATTTTTAGCTCAAGTTACATCTAAAAAACTATAGATGTCAACCCATTTGTTTATTTTTTCCTTAGTTTCCATAGCCCTAGGAGCTGTATCAGTAAAGATATTGCTACAACATATGTTTGATATTTTGCTGCCTATGAAGTCTTCTAAGATTTTAATGGTTTCCCAACTTACATTTAAGTCCTTTAACCAGTTAGAGGGGTTTTTCTGTGTATGGTGTAAGTTGTTGTTCTATTTTCATTTTTTTTGCATGTATCTGACCAAATTTCCCAACACCATTTATCAAAGAGACTGTCATGACTCCATTTTATGCTCTTGCCTCCTTTGTCAAATATTAATTGAGCATAAGCTACCATGGAAAACAATATGGGATTTCCTCAAAAAATTAAAAATGGAATTTGACCCAGTAATCCCACTTCTAGGACTATATCCTAAGAAACCAGAAACACTAATCAGAAAGAATATATGCACCCATATGTTCATAGCAGCACAATTCACCATAGCTAAGATTTGAAAACAGCCCAAGTGCCCATCAACAGATGAGTGGATTAAAAAAACTGTGGTACATTTACACAATGGAATACTATGCTGCTATAAAAAAGAAGGATCTTTTATCATTTGAAACTGAAGTGCATTATGCTAATCGAAATAAGCCAGTCAGAGAAAGATAAATATCACATGATCTCATTCATATGTGGAATATAATGATTAACATAAACTGATGAACAAAAATAGATCCAGAGACAAGAGGCAGGGGAGTGGTGGTAAGGGATGAGAGATCAACCAAAGGACTAGTATGCATGCATATTTGCATAACCAATGAACACAGACATTAGGGCAGTGGGGGCTTACCCTCGGGGGTAGGAGTAGATGGGGGGGGGGTCAATCAGGGAAAAGAGAGACATATATAATACTTTAAACAATAAAAAATTTATAGAAGTCCAATACTCAAAGGACTTTTCTACATATACTGTCTCACTTCATTTTCAGTGTTCTATGAGACAAACCTAATTACCCATTTTTAAAGTGAACAAGAGAAATTAAATTTTTAAAGGTCCTATAACAAAGCTGGGTCTCAAACCAAAGTATTAACCAAAAACAGCATGTTATTCTCAGTTTGCCAAATCATTTGAATGACTCTGAAGCTTCTCTAGTTTGCAAAAGCTTAATTACCTATCTACAAATGGAACCATACATAGTGTATATACAGATGTGTTTATCACAAGTATGATCATTTATAATCACTTTTGCATCTTTGAGTGATTTCTTTGTCTGTGATATTTTAGGAATGCAATTTCTGATTTAAGAATTTCTGCATGTAGTGCTTGCTTCGGCAACACATGTATCTAAGCACATGCTTCGTCTGCCAATTACTTTATCCTGTCATACACTACCTTTTCTATGGTATTTGTCTTTTAAAAGCTGATTATCAATCTCTTAGCATCAGAAACACTGAGGTCTGAGTAATAGTGGTAGAGCTTGGCCCCTAGACATCATATTACCTAGATTTTCTAATATTCTTAAAGACAGCACATCTAATTTTGTTCACTCCATCTAATTTTGACAGTCCCTTTAACATTTGTAGTTATTTTTAATCCCCTGAAAAAGGACAGTAATGGGGCTTATTCACAAATAATGGGCACAACTTTGTTAAATATCAAATCTCTCTGATGTTCTCTGACATCAGATCTTCAGTCCTGGTTCCAAAGTCTTTTGAGTGACTTATAGAATAGAGCAGCTGAGCTGGACTGAACAGAAATACCAAGATCCAATTATCTATAAAACCACTCACTTAGATGGTCTCTTAAGATAGCAATGTATCATTAGTTTTAGAACAATCTATTTAGCATAAACTATAAACTCTGTAAATAACTGAAAGGTAACATTGACTTCTTAGGAGGTAAAATTGTATAAAATTGTGCAAATCTTTGTGTTCTTTAGAACAATTTTTATGAAGTAAGAAAAATTTGCTTCAAAGAACGGAATTTATCTATTCATATCATCCTTAAGGAAATAAACTAAACTTTAAATGCCCTGAAAGAACGAACCCATGTAAGGATATGCAAAAAAAAAAAAAAATCAATCTAAATACCCATTCTATCCAGCAGTAATAGAATGGATTCCATCAGTTAACTAAGCTATATCCTGGACCAATGATTCACATACTTAGTCAGTTTTCTAAAAGGAATTATTACCATCAGCTTTATTGTATGTCACAGAAAGCATTTTACCTCTGGAGGGGACTGCAGAAGGCCTGTCAATAAATTAAGTCTCCCCCTATGGGGCATCCCAATGATGACATCAGTGATCCCACTGTAGGCTGACATTTTCAGCAACTCATGGAAAAAGCCCATCATGCTTTCGGCTCCTTCGCCTCCGTATCGCTTCACTGTGGCAAACTTGGTGGCCAAAAAGTGGTCAAATTCCTATGGGACATCACATCAGACACATTAGTTACACATTAGCTGACTACTTAGGTCAAAATCAGGCATACTATGTGTTAAGACCCCACACCACCTCAAGTAGCTGCAGCTGTGCCCTTCACTACCTAACCCAGAGAAAAACATGTCACCCTGAGTCCAGCAGGAACAGCTTGCCAGAGACACCCGACCACAGTAAGGGATGAAGAGAAAATGGCCTGAGAGGTAGAATAACTTAACCCAAGAGGAACCCCTTAATGTGTGTTCTTCCATTGGGCAGAGCCTCAGATTTCTGCAGCCTGAACCAGTACCTGAGTTTCAGTATCAAGCTCCACAGTACTATTTTATTAAGGATGCAAACTGGCCAACTGTCTGAATTATGGGGAATAAAATTTTTTTCCTCTTGATATGCTTGAGACCTCAGAATAGCCTTGACAAACATTCAATCCCATTAATTCGTATTGATTTGTCTTCCATGCATAGTTTATTTATTTATTTATTATTATTTCAGGAAATAAAAAGAGGAGATCTTAAGGATTTTATAATCTTTTATAGAGTGAATAGACACACATATAAAAAAAGTATCCTGACTGAGAAGAACCAATAGCTCCATTGTTTGGTGATTTACTTTTTCCACCTCAGAATAAAATGGTGTTATATTGTCTGTTGTGTTGAGGTAATAGAGAGGGGGTAAGTAGGGGTATATTCAGAGATTTAATGCCTAATTCCCTCTCTCCAGTATCTATAGATCTTCGTAGCAAATGAGCTGACCTATTCCATTTGTTAGCTGCTGCTTTTATACCTGAGATTCTAGCATTAGCTTGGACAGATGTTTTTTCTCTTCTGTAGTAAACGTCTCCTTTTTCAGCTCCTCAAACCGCCTTGCAAACCAGTCTTTCTCCTCCTGTCTCTGAAGTTGGGAGGTTTCAATGGACATCTGTCCACAGTAGATTTGGTTGAGATAGGCTAATACTTCCTCAAGGGAGGCCTCGTCCTTCCCCATGTCCAATAATCCTATGAAATGGAATCAAAGAGATCCTTTTAAAGAAGAATCAACCATGAAACTAATTATACAACATACCAAAATGATTTTTTTCAATTCAGAGCATTTCATTACAAATAACTTGGGTCATTACCAGTGCTTACCTACATTTTTCTAGAAGCAAATCTAAAAACATAATCAAAAGCCCTAAGGTAGTAAAACTGGAAGAGAGAAAAAAAATCTCTCTTCCCAAGCATACAGCCATACTGTTTTATGTCAAATTTTGATTCTAAAGTCATTTAAACAAATACTTCAAACCTACTTTTTCATCTGCTTCATAGCTACATAGCTTTTGTCCTACCTTTATCTCAAATATCTATCTACCAAAATATTAATAAATATCTGTAAAGCAATGTTTATCATTAAACAGTTGGTCTTAATGTAAATTAATATTGATTCCAAAGCAACATTTAAAGGTAAAAAGAAATCTCTCTGATACTCAACCAAAGAAAAAGGAAGTTTGTAATGTCATTAGCTCAGCACCATATCAGTTATCAGTCATTTGCTTAAACCTACAGCATGAATTAACAAACCAACATTGCCCTGCTGGTTTGGCTCAGTGGATAGAACATTAATCCCAGTCAAGGGCACCTGCCTGAGTTGCAGGCTTGATCCCAGGGTGGGGCCTGCATAAGACTACTCATCAATAATACTCTCTCATCATTGATGTTTCTCTCTCTCTTCCTCTCCCTTCCTCTCTGAAAGCAATAAAAATATATTTAAAAATACATAAATAAATAAAAAGTATCACGAATGTCACATGCAAAAAAACAAACAAATATTTACTTTATATTTCTTACAATAAACTTTAGATCTTTGATATTGATTGACCAATGTTGCAAGAATATGGCAGTGCAGATATCTCTTTACGATTCTGATTTAATTCCTTTAGATAAATACCCAGAAGTGGAATTGCTGGATCATATGATGGTTTTATTTTTAATTTGCAGAGGAACCTCCATGCTGTTTTCTACAATGGCTACACCAAATGATATTCCCACCAAGAGTGCACAAGAATTCCTTTCCTCCACATCCTCACCAACACTTGCATCTTTTGATTTTTTGACAATAGTCAATTCTAACAGGTGTAAGGTGATATCTCATTATGGCTTTGATATGCATTTCCCTGAGTACTTTTTCATATACCTGTTGGTTATTTGTCTATTGGTTTTTGAATGCAGATGAAATGGGCCCTATTGAAAGACCATTCTAGAATTTCAGGACTGCTCCTCCCTGTCAGTCCCTGAAAGTGCTCCTCACTGTCTCCTCTCACCCCATGAAAGCCTCAACTCCAGTGAGCATACGGGTTCTTCAAGAACAGAGGAAGGAGCCCCACCTGTTGGCAGGTAACTGTCACGGAAGATCTATTGCCAATGGGCTTTACCTGTGGTATTAAAGGGTCCCTGCAGGGTCTGCACAAGAGCTTGGATTTCAGGCACATCCTCCTGCAGGGCTTGTCCAGTGAAGAGGGGGTTGATTTTGGCAGCTTTATGACCATGTTCACAATATACTGTCACCAACCTGGCAAGTCCATGATCAACTATTTTAGGGGGGGAGAAAGCAATACAAACAGTTTAGGAAATGCCCACAAAACACAAAAATTAGTTTTTCAAAGAAGCCTTGCGGCCTTCAGCATTTTTAATGCATTGCTCCTACCCACCACATCTGCCAGTAGTTTTTCAGGATTAAAGATTCAGAATCCAGGAAAACACACTTATTTCCTTAAATGTATCTCATGATAATTAAAGTCATTAAAAAAACAAAATGTAAACAGGACTATGATTATACATTTATAAAAATAGCTATGTATGTGAATATTAAAATGGAATACCTCAAATTGAAAAAAAAAACCTTATAATGCTGAAATTATGGATAATTAGTCCTCTTATTAAGATATTTTTCAACACCTTACATTAAAAATATATAGAGAACTACAAAATCAATGTTACATTTATTTCTTATTTCTTTTTAAAAAAATATATTTTATTGATTTTATACAAAAAGAAGAGAGAGAGAGAGAGTTAGAAACATCGATGAGAGAGAATCATCGATCAGCTGCCTCTTGCACACCCCCTACTGGGGATGTGCCCGCAACCAAGGTACATGCCCCTGATTAAAGGCCTTATTCTCTTCCCACCTCTGGGCACAGCCTACAACCCTCCTGACAATTTATTTTTCTCTTAGACCCTCATTGCATTGCCTTGGTTTCTTCCTACATCCTTCCCTCTCTGACCCACAAGCCCTTCCAAGTGACCTCTGGAATTCTGTTTCATGATTAACAAACCTCTGGAGATTCTTAACCTCATCCCCGAACATTCCTTAAACTCTTATCCTAACTGGAGTCTGGTTTCCCCACAGGCCACCAGTAGAAGGTGAAACTATTGATCAACCATAATTATACTCCTCAAATATTGAAGGTGGAGTCAAAGCCTTCTGATTCCTCGTTAACATTTCAGTATCATTAATCCTCTAATTCTTTATAAACCCCCAGCCTCTGAGGGACATACTGTACTGTTGTTAACTAATCTCCATTTGCCAAAAGTCATTACAAAATCATGTTGTAGGAAAATGCTTAATGGGAAAGTGTCCATTTATTTAGATGAGAAAATACAATATAGCATGAGCCTGCTTTTTGTTAGTGTTAATATTATCTATAATAAAAAAGCATAATATGCTAATTAGACTGGACAGCCGAATGACCTTCCTAATCTCATTCCGGATGAAGCTACTGTGGTGAAGACCCAGGCAAAAGCGGTTAGGGGCCATCAGGCAGGCAGGCAGAGTGGTTAGGGATGATGAGGCAGACAGGCAGGCAGAGTGGTTAGAGGAGATCAGGCAGGCAGTAGGTGAGCGGTTAGGAGCCAGAGGTCCCAGACTGCAAGAGGGTGCAGGTCGGGCTGAGGAACCACCCCCCACCCCACCCCGTGCATGATTTTTGGGCTCCAGGCCTCTAATATAACATTTATTTCATTATATAGTCTATATAGCACCACATTAGAACATCTATACTTCATACAAATGTATATGTATATATCTATACATATATTTTATATATATAAAGGAAACAGACCAAAACCTTAGTTATTTACCCTATGTCAAAATTTCTGATATTTTTTGGTTTATCATATTTTCTAAGTTTTCCACAATGGACATGTACAATAGAACTCTTTTCATTGTATCCATTAAACATGCTTGCTGTCCACTGCATTCTGAAAGCTTCTGATTAGTGGTTTCTCTCAGCACACCTGCACCTCTGCCCTCACCAACTGACTAAATGCTGGTAAAAATCAGTTATATTTGTTCCTAAGCCTGTTGCTGTGAGAAAAAAATAAAATATTAGGAGAGAAACTATAAACATATAGAAAGATTCTGCACTCAGATTGCTTTCATGGGCTCTTTTTAAATGCTTGCTTAGATGCAAACAAAACTATAAGTATTTAGGTTAAAATAACTTGAAGCATCTCATGTCTTTGTGATAATCCTTGTGTCAACGTCTTTCTAAAAAATTAAATGACAAACTTCTAGTTTCAAATGCTGTTTTTCTTCTGTAGCAAATAATGAAAGTATTTGTTACAAAATATTAATATATTTAAAACAAAATATGTAATAAAATAATTAAATTAGGATATTTAAATAATATAAAATAAGGGAAAATACTTAAGAGGATGAGAACACAGCAATAGAATGTGTTCTATTAAAATAACTTCCTATTATTGTATAAATCAAAGGGTTACTGTAACAGAAAAATGAATACCTTTATGTTAGGCATAATACTGTCCAAACAAGTCAGAACTCATAATATCTCCAAAAGTCCAGGGGAATTTAAGTTAAATCCCTAAGAAGCCAGAGAATCTTGGCTGGGTTGCTCAGTTGAATAGAGCTTCGTCCTGATATGCCGAGGTTGTTGATTTGATCCCCAGTCAGGGCACAATACAAGAATCAACCAATGAATGCATAAAAAAGTGGAACAATAAATTTTTTAAAAATATATATTTTATTGATTTTTGTACAGAGAGAAAGGGAGAGAGAGAGTTAGAAATATCAATGAGAGAGAGAGTCATCAATCAGCTGCCTCTTGCACACCCCCTACTGGGAATATGCCCGCAACCAAGGTACATGCCCTTGACCGGAATCGAACCCGGGGCCCTTCAGTCCCCAAGCTGACGCTCTATCCATTGAGCCAAACCGGACCCAGCAAAAAAGTGTCTGGGATTTCAGGAATGTCCTCACCTGTCTCTAACTAATAAGGGTGGTTCACTATGCCTACATGGTGCAAACAATGTGGCTTATGCTGAATACCTGCTTTTCTAGCGGGAATGTGGAATTGTGGCATGTATGGAGGGTACTTACAGGAACATCCCCAACAAAAACCTTGCGTGTCAAGGTTCTAATTGGCTGAACTGGGCAGAAACATTCCACATGTTTCAGGTTTTTGTCACGTGAAGAGGTGTGCATTCTGCTACCCCTTGTGGGAGAGAGAGCATAAGAAAGCGTGCACGATGGTTCCTCCAGGTTCTTCCAGTGCTTTTGTCCATTCTGATCCGGTTGTGCATCCTTATTCCTTCACTGTAATAAGTCTTAGCACTGAGTGCAACTATATACTAACGCCTGATGTGGCAGATACTAACACACACTGTGGGTGACACTGGCGCTGAGTACCTGACAGCTGTGCTCTGTGAGCCCACACACAGCTTCTGCCAATATTCCCGGAGCTACCTCTGGTTTACTGCACATATCCTTCAGTGCTAGGAGATATCCTTGTATCTTTCAAATAGAGTCCCCTCTTTTCTTAAAATAGCCAGAGTTGGTTTCTGTTGCTTGTGACCAAGAGAATCTTAGCTAGTACAGGAAGTAAAAAAAGAAATTATGAAACATCAATTATTTTATTCTCTGCTGTAAGCAAACATGGTAGGGACACTGAATAGTATTTTATTATCAGGAAGAATATTGTTTATATTAATCAGCATGAAGCACACTGACAGAAAAACTAAACTTAGTGCTTAAACTAAAAGTCACTACAATTCCCTTTCATTAGCTGGTCATACTCACCCCTCCTCCCCCCCCCAAAAAAAATCTAGATCATATCCACAGCATATTTCCATTCAAGGCAGCATACGCTTAAAGCAAGTAAGAATGTTAGATACTTATACAAACACTAAAGATTCCAAGAAAGAGAAATTCATAACTGGGGTCCCTTAGAATCCTATAAATATGAGATGGTTGCCTCCAGCTTCAACTTAGGAACTTCGGAGATAACCACATTAAAAGCCAAGACTTTGTACCAGAATACTATATTCTGTGCAAAAAACTCAAATATACCTAGGCTGTGCAACTGAATTCATTTCATATCACACCCTTCCTCCCCATCTCAAACATATCTTTATGAAATAAATTAATTTTGCCAGCTATTTCTTTTTTTCAAAAACCCAGACTTTAAATAGAAACCTTGGTCTGGTCCTTTCCATTTGTCCTTAATCCTTTCTTAAATTATTGCCAAGTTAGATACCTATGTGTCACAGGTTGGTAATAAATGACAGTGACATTTACTTGGTACTAATTTTTGGTACACACTATGCTGGATTTTTCACACACATCATCTTATCTAGTCCTTGCAACAAGTTGAAAATAGGTGTTCTTATTTGCAGAAGTGTAAACTGCAAAGGTTAAGTGAATTACAAAAGGTGGCACAGGTCATTGAAAATCTGGAATTTGACTTCAATCCAGTGTTTTAACTGTCCTATATAATAAAAGCCTAATATGCTAAGTGTCCAGTTGTCCGGTTGTCAGTTCAACCAATCAAAGCATAATCCTATATAATAAAAGGGTAATGTGCAAATCAATTGAACGGCTGAGCAACCGGTCACTATGATGCGCACTGACCACTAGGGGGCAGATGCTCAATGCAGGAGCTGCCCCCTGGTGGTCAGTGTGCTCCCACAGGGGGAGCACCGCTCAGCCATAAGTGGGCTGATGGCTTGTGAGTGCAGCGGCCCACCTCTGTAGCAGTACTAAGGATGTCCAGCTATGGCTTATATCGGCTCCCTATGGGCCTAAGCTATCAGTCAGATATTCCCCAAGGGGTCCCAGACTGTGAAAGGGTGCAGGCCGAGCTGAGGGATCCTGAGTGCACGAATCTCATGCACTGAGCTTCTAGTATGCTAATAATATGCTAAGGTTGCTCAATCGCTCATTATGACGTGCACTGACCACCAGGGGGCAGACAGTCGACGGGTCAACTAGTAGATATAACATGCACTGACCACCAGGGGCAGACTCTCCAACTGATAGGTTAGCTTGCTGCTGGGTCCGGCTGATAGGGACTGACCAAGCCAGGCCAGACATGCCCTGGAGCCTTCCCTTGGCCTTTCCCCATCTGGCCAACCTCCTGCATCCCTCCCCAGTCCCAATTATGCACTGTTGGGGTTCCTCAGCCTGGCTTGCACCCTCTTGCAATCTGGGACCTCTCAGGGAGATGTTGGAGAGCCAGTTTTGCAGAATGACAGGTTACTGTGGCTTGCATTGGCCACCAGGGGGCAGATG